ATCAAACCAGAATTGAGAAACCCTCAGGTCTTTAAGCAAGATCCCATCATATGTCTTTACCTGCCCGAAAATTTGGAGCCAAATGCGGGGCCTTGAGGCCGTAAAGAGCAAGGCTTGTGTAAGGCAAGTCTGGGGGGAGGGCGGCGGCGAGTGAGCCTGCAGGCCGGGATGCAGACGTCGGAGAGATTCACAACCGTGAGGGTCGGGAGTTTATCTGAGAAAGCAGAGCAGCCCCCCACCACACCAACATGTCAAGGGGAGTCCAACGGAAAGAGGGTCTTGTAAGGAAGGAGAGGGGGCGAGCCAGGCACCTTCAGCTTTGGATGTTTTGCAGGGAGGGCCCAGGAGGCGGGGACGGCCCCTCTCAATGCGGCGGACGGCAGCCCAGCACTGAGGGTGCTGACAAACGGCCAGGTCGCACGTGGTCTCGTCCCACTGGCTCTGGTCCGGCATGTACGTGGGGGCGGGGGGGTTAGCCCAAAGGCCAACCCTGGTGCTGTCGGACCGTCTGAAGAAACCACCACATCATTAGAAACGTTACACAATAGCCACGTACTCCAGAGTTTCATTTCCACTCAAAGCCATAAAATTTTTCATTGAGCCTGGATAAGTCAGTGACAGCTGCTAGATCACCAAGAGCTGGGAAATAAATACGCATGTAAACATGGCAGTACTTTGGTACATCTACACAGTGGAATACTATGCAGCTGTTAGGAAAGATTAAGTCATGAAATTTGCTTATAAGTGGATGGTCATGGAGAGCATCACGCTAAAAAGTGAAATGAGCCAGAAAGAGAGTGACAGATATAGAATGACTACACCCATTTGTGGAATATAAAATAACATGAGACTGACACCCAAGGACACAAGGGCACACAAGGGCCAAGAGTATTGGTTCATAGTTGGAAGCCTGTCTCATGAGCTGGGGGAGAAGGCAGCTGGAATAGAGACGGGATCACTAAGTCAATGATGGTTGGAGGGATAGCTCAGAATGGGAGATGTGTGCTGAAAGTAGATAAAGGACCAAACGTGATCGCCTCTCAGTATCTATATTGCAAAATGTAATTCCCAAAAGTAGAGAGAGAATCTGGGGAAATTGTCTGCCCTAGAGGTAGGGGGAGGGTGGGAAGCGGGGGAGTATACTGGGAAGATCGGTGGTGGAGAATGTGCACTGGTGGAGGTATGGGTGTCCGATCATTTTAGGAATGAAAGTCAAACATGAAATTTTTGTAACTGAATCTCACGATGACTCAATAGAAAAAAGAAAACATAGCAGTGTCAAGGAAAGTGGTGACAGTGAGGTGGCTAGGCTAAAGAGAGACTACAGAGGTAGGGCACTTGCCCTTGCATGCGGCTGACCCAGGTTCAATCCCTGCCACCCTATATGGACCCCAACTAAAGTGGACCCTGAGTGCAGAGCCAGAAGTATGCCTTGCGGTTCCACCAGGTGTGGCTCCCCACAAAATAAGACTGGAGTAGCTGACTGCTCCAGAGTCTTTATAACCGGCCACTGAGCAACTCTTGAGGGTCAGGGATGTGACCAATGGGAAAGCTCATACCCTGCATGCACGAGGCCCTGGTACAACCCCCAGATGGGGAGAAGAAATGAGCTGAGGGATCCAGGATTTAATCTGAGCCTCAGTTTTCCTTCTCTGAAAAAAATGAGACTAAGTCTACTTTACAGGGATATTATAGCATTGTAGCACTGTAGCACTGTCCTCCCCGCTGTTCATCCATTTGTCAAACTGTTGGGGGCAGGGAGGAAAGGAGAGCCTCCCAAGCAATGTTCAGGGTACCTGGAGGGCTAGTTCCATCTATAACTTGGCCAACGGGGCTAGCAAAGCAACTTAAGTCCAGCAGTGCGGGAGGTCACCAAGGTCACACCTGGAGATACTCATTCAGGGCCACACCTGGAAGTTCTGGGAGCTCACAAACTACTGGGGGAATGGAACTTAGGGCCCCGAGCTTTGTAAAGCGTGTGCTCTGGCCCTTTGAGTTCTATAACCCCAGTCCCCTGCCACACAGTTTTGAAGAAATCGTATCAGCCTCTCCTATCCCCCTCCACTAATCATCATGGAGATGCTACCAGCGCCAAAAGTCTTACCAAGTCAAAACTATGTAGAAATGCTATTCTGAGAAGCAAAGAGCTCACTGGGAGGATGACGGAGCTTGGGGTCACACCCAGCGGTGCACAGGGCCCTGTCCTGGCTCTGTCTTCAGGAATAACCCTTGGCAGTGAACATGTGCAGTGCCAGGGACTGACCCAGGGTGGCAACTGCTTGCAAGGTAGGTGCTTTGCCTCCTGTACGCTCTCCGGTGCCCAGATGTGCCTTGTGACACTGAAGACTCACAGCCTTAGTACAGGCTCCAGGTGTACCCCACCGAAAATCAGCGCGTACCTCCCTCCATCCTGATTTCAGTTCCATCCTGACCCCTTGCTTCTGGTAACCACGCACTGGTCTTACAGTCCAAAAGTTTGTATTGCTTTGTTTCAGACAGTTCATCTGCTTGGTTTCTCTCTGTGCCACCTATGAGTAAAATCATACATGGGCGAGAGAGATAGTACTTGCCTTGCACAGACTTGACCCCAGTCTGATCCCCAGCACCATAAGTGTCCCTCAGGCCTGACCAGAATTCAGCTGTGAGCATCGCCAGGTGTAACCCAAACCTCCCCCATCCCACCAAAAATACAATCATGTTCATAGAAGTGATTTAAATGGCTCAACCCTTCAAAATACACGCTTTATATTTCCCAATACGTTCCAAATCCCTCACCAGCAGAGAATTGGGTCTGCTCAAATAGCCAACCTGTGGGCTTGCTACACTATCACTAGTCCTATCACTAGTCACTATTTACCAGTTGTACGGTTTTGAACAAGTGCCTTCACTTCTCTGAGTCTCTTTTCCCATCTAACTTGTGGGTGTAGGAAAGCCCCTACAACCTGGAGAAGCATCACATGTGTAAAGTGTGGTAGTACATAGCATACTCAATTAAAACTGCCATTGGAAGTCAGAGAAATATGGTACGGGGTTACGGCGCTTGAGTCGCACATAGTCGACCCGGGTTTGATCCCTTGAACCACTCAGGTTGCCTCAAGCACCACCGGGGTAAGCCCGGAGCATCAACGTGTGTGGTCCGATAACATAAACAAAACAGAATTTTTCTGGTGCTGGAACAATAGCACAGCGGGTGAGGGCATTCGCCTTGCACGCGGCCAACCCGGGTTCGATTCCCAGCATCCCATATGGTCCCCTGAGCAACGCCGGGAGTGATTCCTGAGTGCAGAGCCAGGAGTAACCCCTGTGCATCGCCAGGTGTGACTCAAAAAGAAAAAAAAAAAAAAAAAAAAAAACAAAGAAAAGAAAAAGAAAAAAACAATCTTTGTCTAGTAAAGGGTTTTCTTTGAGGGAGGAGGAGAAGAGGGGTTGAGTGGAGATTTGGGGGAGGGGGGTGGAGCCACACCCAGCGATGCTCAAGGACTATGCTGGCTCTGTGCTCAGGAATCACTTCTGGTGCTGAGTCAGCCATGTACAAGGAAAGCACCCTACCGGCCGTACATCTCCCTAGGCCCCTCACTAGTAATGTTTCAATCACTACCCCTTGAGTACGCCTAATAACTAGCTTAATTCTTTTATTCACATCCTCTTTTACTCATATCATACTTTTGGAGTTAGCAGCTCCGGGCTAGCAAACAGGAGGGGTCTCCTAATGAGCAGTAGAACAGCAATGAATAAGACAAGTTCATGATGAGCCAGAGAGGTGGCCCAGGGCGTTAAGCATTCGCCTTGCATGGAGCTGACCAGTTCAGAGCTCAGGGTCATGTGGCTGCAATCCAATTCACTAAAAAACTCAAGTTTGACTTCAACATAGTTCGTGTTACAGCCAGAACTTAATAGTACATCACACTTACGACCAGCTGCTTGCTGCTGGCTGTTACCTGACCAGTCCCGGAGCCCGACTCTGGGTCAAGCCCAGCTCTCGGTTGCTAGCTCCAAGGCCTGGCTCCCAAAGCAGCTGTGTCAAGCACCAACCCGGTAATCATGATCCTTAATCGACTATCAGGAAAAACTGGGAGAAATCTAAGGACCTCTGCACCCGTAGAACTGTTTTCTCAGCTTCTTTCTGGTCAAGGGGGGTGAGAGACGACTTAGAAGGGTTCGAAGCCTTCCTCATGAGCTGGGAGAGAAGGCAACTGGGATAGATAAGGCATCACTAAATTAATGACAGTTGGAGGGATCCCTAGGATGGGAGATGTGTGCAGAAAGTAGATAAAGGACCAAGCAGGATGGCCTCTCAGTATCTGTACTGCAAGCCACAATGCCCAAAAGTAGAGAAAAAGAAAGAAACTGTCTACCACAGAGGCGGGGGCGGAAGGGGGAGGGGGGTGGAGGTGGCAGGAGGGATACTGCCGACACTGGTGGTGGAAAATGAGCGCTGGTGGAGGAATGGGGGTCAGATCATTGTGAGACTACAGGATCACGAAAGCTTCCTAACAGTATCTCACCGCAATTCAATTTAAAAAAATTTTTTGAAACTTTTAAAAAATTAAAAAAAAAAAAAAAGGGCAGGTTAGATACCTCATAGCTATCCAGACGGAACTCAGGAAAATCGGCTTCAGAAGCCTCGCTGGACGGGCTGACCCCGCCCCCAGAAGCCCCGCCCCCTAGAAGCCCCGCCCAGACCGGGCTCAGGCCACGCCCCGGGCTCCCATGCTCGCCGCGGGGCCGCGCCGTTGCTAGGCAGCGGCGCAGAGCACTATGGGGCAGGCAGGCCTGGTGGGCCGGACTTCAGGCTCAAGCTCCCTCGGAACTTGGTGAAATCGAAACACACGAGCGGGAGGTGGACGGGTACGCGGGTGGGCCGGAGGCCCGTCCGAGCAGCGGAACTTAGCGCTCGGGCGTGGGCGAGGCTCGAAAGCACCGGCGGCGGGAGGAGGCGGAGGCGGAGGAGGCGGGGCCGGCGGCGGCGGCGGCGGCGGCGGCGGCGGCGGCGCGCGCGCGGGGCCTGGTGGGTAACGCGAGGCGCGGACGGAAGCCGCCTGGGGTCAGCGCGGGAGCGACGCGCGAAGTCCGGAGCCGCGCGCCGCCCGGGCGGGAGGCCTGCGCGGGGGCGATGGCGGAGCGGCCCGAGGACTTGAACCTCCCCAACGCGGTCATCACCAGGATCATCAAGGAGGCGGTGAGCGGGCGCGGGGGCGCGGGCGGGCGCGGGGCGGGCAGCAGGCCGGGGCTCAGCCGGCTCTTCCGCAGCTCCCGGACGGCGTGAACATCTCCAAGGAGGCCCGCAGCGCCATCTCCCGCGCCGCCAGCGTCTTCGTGCTGTACGCCACGTCCTGGTGAGGCCGGCCGAGACCGGGGGAGCAGCCGAGCCCCCGCCCCGCCCCGCGCTCGCTTTGGGGGGGGTCTCTCTGCGGGGCGGGGGCGGGGGTGGGGGAGCGTGAGCCCCCCAGGCCGCCTGGCCTGTTCGCCCGGCCCCTGCTCGGCGGGTGGCCCCAGGACCCGAGGGCTTCCCGGGCAGCCACGGTGGGCGCCGAGGGCCCCCCAGACGCGCGCCCCAACGCCGTCTCCGTGCACAGCGCCAACAACTTCGCCATGAAGGGGAAACGCAAGACGCTGAACGCCAGCGACGTGCTCTCGGCCATGGAGGAGATGGAGTTTCAGCGGTTCATCGCCCCCCTGAAAGAAGCCCTGGAAGGTACCGGGCTGCCCCGCCGCTCGGCGGCCCCCACGCAGCACGTTGGCGTGGGGGACAGCCCCTAGCCCTGCCCCTCGCCCCACCGCCGCTCCCGCCTGGACCCTGAACCTGATCCACCGGTCTCACCACGCACAGCACACACCCACTGCTTCCCTCTGCTCTGGGGTCTCTGCTGGACCGAGCTTGTCCCCTTGGGGCCCGAGGTTGCCCGGCCCGTGCGTATGCATGCTGTCCGGGTGGCTCTTGCAGCCCGGCCCTCCTGACGTCCGGCCCCCGCTCACTGTCCCCCTTGCCCTCCAGCCTACAGGAGAGAGCAGAAGGGCAAGAAGGAAGCCTCCGAGCAAAAGAAGAAGGACAAGGACAAGAAAGCCGATTCAGAAGAGCAGGATAAGAGCCGGGAGGAAGACAACGAGGAGGACGAGGAGCGGCTGGAGGAGGAGGAGCAGAATGAGGAGGAAGAGGTGGACAACTGACCGGGTTGCCGCCCCCCCCCCCCACACACACACACCTTGGGGGTACCTGGAGAGGTTCTTGAGTGTAGCACCCCTGGGTGCAAGGTTGGACGGAGTGAACAGTGCATCCCAGCATCAGTGCATCTGAGGTGCAGAATCCCATTCCGCCTTGGTCTGAGGTCAAGGACTTTTGGCAACGGGATTCTGAGTGGCTCGCTTGAGTGGCCGATTTGAGCCTTCCTGGTTTACTTGTATATGGAACTAGGCAGTTTCTGATTCCCACCCCCCTTCTCACACATATACAGATTACTTAAAGTCACTTAAAAAAAAAGTGATTTCTACGCTGCCCACAGGGTACTAGAGGCAGACCACCTCGGGGAAAGATGGGATTGGTTGCTGGTCCGCCTGTTGTTCTGTCCAGTATTTGGCAATCCTGGCAGATCGCAAGTGTTCTGGATGGTTCAGCTTGGGGCACCTATGGAAAAGCTATTGGAGAAGAACAGACGCTGCTGGGTTGGTTCTTACTTGACAGTAGCAGCCTGGAGCCTCGCTCCATTGCCTGGGGGCATTGGGCCCTCCAGAGGAGCTGGACTCGGCACCCCTGCTTTTAGCTCAGCATTGTGAAATGGAATTGCCAAGCAAGCCAGAGTGCCAGTGGTTCCCTTGTAGAGCATACTCCGCTGCTCTGAAAAAGCATTGGTGTTCGTAGTAACCTGGAAGGTGTAAAATTGTAGGCTTTTTCTTCTATTTCCTCTCAGAGTAATGGCTTTTCACTCTTCAGGTATATCCCAAACTTTGTTTCCCCTGAGCAGAACTCTCCCTCTCTCAGCTTCTCTTTTGCCTCTCCTTTTTGTCTTTCTTCCCTTCGTGTCATCCTCCTTTCTCCCTCTCCCCCTGACTTTCCCGCTTCTCATTCTTCGCTCTCTTCTACCCACCTAGGAACTTTGATAACCTTCTTATAGTCCAAAGTATAACTGGTTCCTTAGTTCTAATCCCGTGTCTTAGAAGTGCTTTTGGGAGCCAGGGAGATGCTGCAAAGTGCTGGGGCTTGTGCTTTGCTTGCAGTTCTTTGATTCCAGCACCCCGTGGTCCCCTAGGCACTGCTGGGTGTGGCCCCAGCTTTGAACCTTAAAGAAAATCTGATGGTGCTCAGGAATCTAATGTCCATAGTTCTCCACCATCTCCTCCATCCTACCCGCTTGCTGCTTCAAAAGTACCTCTGTTGACCTTTCCAGGTCTTTCTTTTTCCATTTTGGTGCTCCAAGCACTTCTGTTTGTTTCTAAGTTGGGGGTTGGAGGAATTCACAGGCCATGAAGTAATAGTTTGACACTGTTAGTTTGTTCAATGAATTCAGTAAAAAGTTGATAAATGAAAAATGTTGGGGAAAATTCTAATACTTTGTATAAATAAAGAGCATTCTTGATAAAAGTGATGACTCCTGTTTTATCCCATGCGTTGTAGTCATACTTTCAGAGAGGACCCAGGGTTGTGCCCTTTATGGTTTGAGGTGCTTGATCTTGGACACAACCTTGGAAACATGGGCCCTGGGTCCCTCTGGATCACCTGCTCTTGCTGCTCAATCTCGGGCAAGGCCACTGCCCTTCTACCACCAGAGCTTTTCTGCGGCTCTGCAAAGCACCCTAAAAACTAGATTCCCAACAACTCAATTTTTATGGAGGCCCTGCTACGTATGTTGTTACCTATGTCTTAACTGCTTTCAAGCAGTGCAAACAAGCACTCTGTGACTTCATCACTTCAACCTCAGTGCTGCATTATCTCAGTGCTCTATCCATATAGCTTTCTCAAGTCATAACAATCCACATTAAGGGGCCAGGGTCATAGTACAACAGGTAAGACGTTTGTCTTGCACAAGACTGACTCGGGTTCAATCCTGGCATTCCTTATGGCCAGACCCCCCCCCCCCCAACATCGTCAGGAGTGATCCCTGAGCATCTCTGGGTATGACTCAAAAAGCAAAATTTAAATTAAAGTCCACAATAAAAGATATGACCAGCAGCCATGAGATCCAGTGGTATTCCTTCAAAGCAGAAAAAGCAGAAACATCCTTCATAGTTTGGGGGCTTTTTTTGGGGGGGGGGCGGGGGATTGGTGTTTTTTCTTTTTTTCTCCTTGGACCAAACCCAGTAATGCTCAGGGCTAACTACTGGTTATTCACTCAGCAACTTCTGGCAAGGCTGGGGGGCTACAGGATGCCAGGGATAGAACCCAGGTCAGCCGCATTCAAAGGGAGCACCCTACATGCTGTACTATTTTCTCCAGACCCAGCAGAAACATCCTGATTCTGCACCTTTTGGCAAGTTCCATCAGGATTCCTGTAGCTTGCTTTGAACTCTGCTTCCTGCCTCAGTTCTGCTTTCCCTGGCTTCCCCTGTGTACTGCCTGCCAAGAGAATCTTCCTGGAACATCATTATGTTTGAGTCCCTCCTCTCTTCCTGATAAATAAAAGCTAAACTTTTAATCAAAGCTGCTTCAGGAAGGCCTGCCTTACAAGCTAATCAAAAACTTCAACTTAAGAGTCTGGTCAAAAATGAATGCCCAGCACTAGGGAGACAACGTAGATGCAAGAGGCCTGGGTTCAATCTCTTCATGAGACTTTACTTCTATTTTTTTTTTTTCTTACTTTTCAGTTTGGGGCCATACCTGACAGTGCTTGAAGGGCTACCCCTGGCTCTGCTCAGGAGGTTGCTCACCGAGCCTTCCACATGCAAAGCGTGAACTCATTCAGCCCATAACTTCAGTTCTTCCTAAGTGGATACTAAGATTTACCATCTACAAAATTAAAGACTTGGGAGGAATCTTTGAGGACACTCCCCGCCCCCCCCGCCCCCCCCCCCCCCCCCCCCAGTTTTCCCCAAGTATGTCTCGGCCTATCCTATTGTAGAATTTAAATTGAGTTTTCTGACTAGGCTAAGGTAAAAGGTAATGTTCCTTAGCTTTAAAAAAAAAAAAAAACAGCACTTCATGGGGCCAAAGAGATAGTGCCCTAAGCACCACCCTGAGTAATTTCTGAGCACAACTGTGTGGAGCCCTGCCCCCAAAGAATAAATGAATTTTTTTTTAAATACAGCCCTTTAAGATGGCAGGTCTGATCTGGATTTGGGAGGGGAAAATTACCATTTCTATTCATGCAAAATTACTTTTGCAACTTAATTTTTACCAATGAAAAATTGAGAATTGAAAGCTTCTGGAGCCCAGAGGGAGAGTACAGGTACTTGCTTTACAGGCTAACCCCTATTCAATACCCAGCATTGAATATGGTACCCCGAACACTACTAGGGGGTCACTCCTGAAACCAGAAATATAACTTGAACACCAGTATGGTCCAAACCACCCTCAGCCCCCAAAAAAGTGACTTGGTCAGGATCTTCCCACTAATTGTATATAATCATGGTTGAATTATCAAACTAAGAAAAAAAATTATCATTTAAATACCAGACTAATTATTTCACCAGGTTTTCCACTCATGTCCTTTATTGTTCCAGGATCCAATTCAGAACCCCACATTGCTTTGGTGAATCAATTTTCTTTAAGTTACATGAAATTGATGCTCTACCGACCTAGCTATCTGGGCTGGAGCGATAGCACAGCGGTAGGGCGTTTGCCTTGCGCGCAGCCAGCCGGGCCGAGCCGGGTTTGATTCCTCCACTCCTCTCGGAGAGCCCGGCAAGCTACCGAGAGTATCTCGCCCGCGCACCTGGCGAGCTCCCCATGACATATTCAATATGCCCAACAACAAGTCTCAAAATCGGGGATGTTACTGGGCCCGCTCAAGCAAATCGATGAACAACGGGAGGACATGAAATTGAGCAATTCCGTGGTGTTCACTCCATTCCATTCTTTATCAACCACATTTATCTAGATCCAAAGCATTTTATTAACCCAAAATAAAACTTGGTATCAGTTAAGCAGTTATTCCCTGTGCTTCCCTTCCCTGGAGGCTACCAGTCTTCGACTTACACAGCATTTGGCATAATTGCCATGTACCTATCTAAGTGACATTCACAATATTTTGTATGTAGGATATGTGTGTGTTTTTATGGTGTTCAGTTTTCTATGCTTGAAGTGCACATTCTAATAGGTAAGTAGGTAAGTATAGCACTTGACCGAGTTTAACAAGCTAAGCACATTATATAACTTGCAACCCAATCAATACACAGTAGGACCAGCACCTTAAAAAGCCCTTTGGTCTCCCAGTAATTCTATTTCTCCCCATTGATAATCACAAGCCTTTTCGTCAGCACAGAGGAATCACCTGGTTTTTCACATTTCACATAAATGAAACCATACAGAATGTATTTTCAGAGCAGACTCCTTATTCAACATCCTGTTTCCGATTCATTTTATTAGGTTCACAATACTACTTACAGATAAAAATAAAGGATCAAGATAGAACTTGGGGGTTTGAGGAAATGTTTCAAAGGGTTACAGCATATGCTTTGCATCACGGTACTCTACATTTCATACCACAGGGTCCCCCAGACACTTCCGGGAGTGGCCCACTCAGCATCACTCAGCATGGTGGGGTATGATCTCCCCCACCAAAAAAAAAATAGAATTATTTTTTGAAGTCTAGAAATGTGTCTCAGTGGTAGAGCTCATACCTTGCAGCTGTAAGACCCTGGGGTCAATCTTAAGCACTACAGGGAAAAGATTTTTTTTTTTTAAAGGGAGGTAGAGAAAGGTCTGTCAGTCAAGGAAAAGAGAGAAACATGGGGGAAAAACATGGTACAGCATTTTAAAATCTTTTATCCTGGGTTGGGGAAAGATACCACAGCCAGCAGACAGGGCGATGGCCTTGCATGCAGCCAACCAGGGTCCGATCCCAGGCACTCTACGTGGCCTCCTGGTCTCTGCCAGGAGTGACCCCTGAATGCACTTAAACTCTGCTAGATGTGTCCCTCCAAAAAAGAAAAAATATTATTATAATCCTCACAGTACTGCTGTCTACAGTCCTCCGCTCTACCAGCTGAGCTATCGAAGGGCGCATAGCACAGAGGTAGGGTGTTTGCCTTGCACGCAGCCAACATGGCCGACCCAAGTTCGATTCCTCCGCCCCTCTCGGAGAGCCCGGCAAGCTACTGAGAGTATCTCGCCCGCACGGCAGAGGCTGGCAAGCTCCCCGTGACGTATTCGATATGCCAGACACAGTAACAACAAAGTCTCCAATGGAGACGTTACTGGGCCCGCTCGAGCAAATCGACGAACAACGGGAGGACAGTGACAGTGACATTATTATAATCCTAAATATTTGAAGCTTATTGGGCAAGGGATTTTAACTGAGAAGGGGTAAAGGAGCGGAATAAACAATAATTACCCCGTTGCTAAGCAGACACGGCAAAGAAATCCCAATGTGAATGGAGCAAACTGTTCAGTTCCACTATCGCTTTTCTCCTAATCTGTAAAAGGATAGTAACAATTAAACTTCGAAAGTAAGGCGACAGAGAGATCGCACAGGGTTAAGTTACTCACCTTGCAGGTGGCAGACCCGGGACTGACCCTGAGCACCACTAGAGGGCACTCCAGGCTCCACCCCTACCCTCACAAACAAAATTAGAAAGTTGTGAGTGTGAAAGACATGGTATTGACTTGACCCCTTTCCTTTCACTTTTGTTGTACTGAAGACTGGGGGTTACACACTTGGTTGCTATGCTAAAACGATAAGTTGGGGGTGCCTGCACACACGTCCAGCTTGTCAGGGGTCAAAACACTTGATTATGGTGCCCTCAAGCTCGAATTGCAGGGCCAGCAGACTCAAAAGGCATTACTGCCAAGATTGCACAGGGCACGTGGCAGTTACTCTGCCAGGCTAGCCCCAGGCCCCTGCCCCCAATGCTCAGGACCCACACAGGCCAAGCACCTAGCCTACCGCTGACCCACATCTCTGGACTTTCCCCTGCCTTTGTTGTTGGGCTGGGTTTGGGCTTGAGTATTTAACCACATTCACCAGTGTTTGGGAACTATTCCTGGTTCTATTCTCAGGGGTCGCTCCCACAGTCCCCAGGGAACCATGCTGTACCAAGACAGAACACAGACCCGCATGCAAAGTATGTGTTCCAGCCTGCTGGGCTATCTCTCCAGTCTCTCCAGGCACTTTAGGACCTGAGAGGGGTCACTGGGAGGGCCACACGCTGAGGTGCTCAGGGGGCCAGAATGCTGTGCCAGGGATCAGATCAGGGTGAACCCAGTGCAAGCCAAGGCTTAATCCTGTACTTTGTCCCGTCCCTCCCCAGTCTTTTAAAACAAAGGACATAACTTCCTTTCTACATTCTTCCTTATTTGACCACAGATCAGAGGCAGCTGGGAACTAATTGTTGTTGGTATGTCCCCAGCAATAAGCCTCTACGCCTCTTTATGTTTTGAAATACAAAGAGGTATAAAACAGGTTTGGGACACAGATTCGGAGTAATACCATCCCCCAGCATCCTTCCCAGTGCCAAGTCAACTTTCTGATAATCCCTTTGCTGGGGTGTTGATCCCCACCCCCTAACTCACCCATCTAAATCTCCCGGTTCACACAAAGGCTCAGAAGCCTCACTGGACGCCCCCAGCGCACGCGCAAGCTTTGAGAAGGATCCAAACTGCCAAGGATTTGGGGTCGGGTCTGACGCCCCTATTCGACTTTTTTTTTTCTCAGCCCGCGATGGAGGGTCGGTTCTAACACATAAGGCTGGCAACATTCTTTCCTGAAAACTTGAAAGGTAACCTAGCTCTGAACTCCACTGTAAAATGCTGGTCCGCAAAAAAAAAAAAAAAAATCTTAGCTATTATGTTAGGCATGATGGTGTTGTTTCTGACATCTAATTATTCTTTCAACAGCTCCTAACCAGCGCCAAGCATGCGCTCCGCTGGGAAGCGGAAGACTGCAAAGAGACCCCGCAGGCCGGTAACCGCCTCCCGGGGCGGCTCCCACGCCCCGACCCCGCCCGCGCGGCTCCCGAGCGCCCACGTGGGTCGCCCCGCCCGGGCCCGGGGAAGCGGGGCCGCCCGCCCTCAGGCACACACGATTGGCCGCCCTGACGCGAGGGGGCGGGTCTTCCAGCGGAGCCGGCCAGTCACCGCGCAAGGCGCCCCAGGGGGTGTGGCCAGGCGCTGGCGGGGGCGGGCTCCGAGGGGGCGCTGCTTCCGGCGAGTGGCCCCGCCCCCACGTGGGTCCCGGGAGGGCAGCGCGCCCCTGGGCCGTGGCGGGACCCGCGTCTGCGACTCCTGGAGCCCGAGGCCGGTGAGCGGGTGCGGGACTCGGGACTCGGCTTGCAGGCGGCGCCCGGGGCGCTGCGATGTCGCGACCCAGCCGCGGATTGTGCCGGGCGCTTGAGGCGCGGGCCACGAGCACCCGCGGGGGCGGGGGGAGTCCCGTCGGGCCGCTGTAACGTCAGCTCGCCTGGGTCACGGGCGCCCGGGACCCCGAGGAACGCGTGGGCGCCCGCGATCGGCCGGCCCGCGGCCCCCCCGCTCGGACGCCGCTGGGCAGCCTCGGATCGGTGCGGGGTTCGAGTGGCCTCCTGACCGCCGCTTTGTGCCCGGCGCCTCGTAGGGTGCTCTCTTTGGCCCACTGAGTCTGCACGGCTGCCCGGGGCCCCATTGATCGGCGCGGGGAAACTGAGCTCACTGAGCGCGGCTGGAAAGCGCTGGCCCCGGGACTTGAGTCCAAGGCGTCGGTGCAGGCTCCCGACCCCACCCCACCCCGACCCCCACCCACCTGCAGCTCAGCCAGAAGCGGTGTTCTCCCGCCGCCCTGCTCCTGCCCCGTGCCCGCACTCCCCACCAGCTAGACTTGTTTGGTAAGGTGCTTTGGAAGCTGCACTTTAAGTGTCCAGGGGCAATGGTAGGCTTTGACACCTATCTTCCAACCCCAGGGAGGGGGACCCTGGTCACCTACAAGAACCCCAGCCCTCCTGTGACCCCAGGCATCCGCATTCCGGCCACGAGATCACCCTGTGTGAGGGGTCTCTGGAGCTACACACACATTGGGTCGCAAGGGCCAAACCCGGTGGAGTGGCAGTTGGGCTCCGCTGTGCCCTAGGGAGAAGCCAGGGTCTAGTTCTTCCCTTTAATCCCTAGCCCTGGTGCAGACCCGGAGAGAGATTCAGGGAACCGGAGTTGGTTGTCCCAGCACCCGTTGGTGCCTTTTCAGAAGGGCCTGGGCAGCTGCTGTCCCCAGCCCCGCGGCGGTTCTTGGTTTCTCACCTTGGGCCACCTTCCGCCTAGCTGGCCCTCCCGACTGCCTCCTCCTCCAAGCAGCTTCTGCCAGAGCTGGCAGCCACTCCCAGCTACCTGTGCCAAGAGCACAGGCTCTGGAATCCTCTGCAGAAGCGCAGCGTGGGGTTTCAGGTCCTGCAGCTCTTCCTCAGCCCCTCTTGGTAGCAGCTCTGGGAAGGGAGCCTTCCCTGCTTAGACAATTTGCAGGTCGAGGAAGTTGCCTTCTAAGGAAGGAGAGAATTCCTGGGTCAATCCGAGAAAAAGACTTTTGGGCTTGCATGTCGCCTCTTCCAGGAAGCCCTCCTGGACTCCCAGAGACACAGCTCCAGGCCCACCCCTCTACTCTGGTGTTTAATTCTTCCCTACCGTGTCAGCTTCTGGAAGTCTGGGACCCTGTCTCGGCTATCTCAGACGACCCTTTAGCCCCGCCAGGTTTCTGTGCAAGTTGTTCCTGCCATGTGGCACACACAGTGCAGCTGTGTTGGGCTGTCCAGGAGATTGAGTCCCAGCTCTGTCCTGCTCCAAGTGACAGTCATAAAAGTGTCCTAGTGTTTCATGATTGGGGTGTGTGGGGGGCGGGGGGTGGCTGGTTGGTGCCAGGCCCGTACTCGTTCCCTCTCACCATCTTCCCTATCTCTAATCTGCTCCCCAACTTTGCATGTCTGATAGTATCGCTCGAAGTTTAGAGATTACGAAACGAAAACTCTTCAGGACCAGCTCCCTTACCCAAAGGCACACACACACACACACACACACACACACACACACACACACACACGCAGAGCAGAGACCAGGCCTGGGACCATTCAACCCCGAAATGTGCATCTTTTGCTCAGGGTTCTGGTTGGAAGGTGGGTGGGTGGGCAGAGGCTAGACCCCTGGTGGCTTGTTTCTGTCCTCGCTGTGGTGCTCCAGCACCCATCTGGGGCTTGCAGATCTCCGGATCGGAGAGATGGGCCCTCCTGAGTCTGTGGCCATCTCCCGGACTTGAGGGGCTTTTTGCACTTGGCTGTGTAGACAGGGATGTGTCTGGGTCAGGACAGTTGAGGTGGAGGTGGGGGTGGGGGTGGGGGTGAGGAGGTGGTTTCAAGACCTCATAACCAGGTCAGAGGGTGTTTGTGTGGGTCTCGGTCCTGGACATGCCAGCTCCGTGCACGATTCACTGCAGTTGCAGAACAAGTCTTGTTGCTTCTCTGCTCCCCACTCTCCACGGCAGAATGCCGGCCCTGAGCGCCAGAGAGGCAGCCCAGGGTTCTGGTGCTTGCCTTCGTCGCTGCAGGCCGCGGTTCCATCCCAGCACTCCAGGTCCCCAGAGACAGAGTCGGAGAAGCCCCCGGGCACAGCGGAGGATGGCCCAAACCCCTCCCTCAAATAAAAATTAAAAAGCATGAAAGACATAAAAGGGTTGGTGTTAGTCATCAACCTTTCTTTCTTTCTCTCTTTCTTTCTCTCTTTCTTTCTCTCTCTCTCTTTCTTTCTTTCTTTCTTTCTTTCGCTTTTTGGGCCACGCCTGGCGATGCTCAGGGCTTGCTCCTGGCTTTGCACTCAAGAATTACTCCTGGCGGTGCTTGGGGGACCATATGGGATGCTGGGGATTGAACTCAGGTCAGCCACGTGCAAGACCAGTACCCTACCCGCTGTACTAGCCCTCCAGCCCCTCTTTCTTTTTCTTTTTTCTTTTTTTTTCCAGTTACTGATATCTCTTATTTTCAAATTTAGTTTTTGTTTTGTTTTGTTGCCCCCCCCCCAGCTATACTAACTCTGAGCTCAGGGGTCACTCCTGGCAGGATTTGGTAGGGTATATGATGGGTGGGGAATGGACTTCATGTGGTGCTGGGGAACCAGCCTGGGTCGGGCACATGCCCCGCAAGCACTTGACCCACTGGACTGTCTCTCCGGCCCCCCTGTTATCTGTTTTTGAAAATCCATCTCCCACCCTTCACATTTCAAACAGCAGATGAGGGGCCAGAGAGATCGTCCAGCCGGGAGAGCACTTGCCTTTCATGGGACAGACCCTGATCCCATCCCCTCTGCTCCATATAGTCCCCGGAGCACCGTAAAGGAGTAATTCCTGAGCACAGAACCAGGAGTAAGACCTGAGCACCGCTGGGTGTGACCCTCCCCCCCCCCAGAAAAAAATAAAAATAGCCGCTAACAGGGGAACTGTACCCCTGGGGCCTGGGCCCCTCCCCCGCACTCCCCCTCACTTTCCTCAGAGGCTGAGCTGCCGGTAGCCCTGCCCCAGCTGGTGGAGATAAGCAGCCGCTCCGCTCCCTGGCCCTGGAGAGCAGATAGGCACCTGTGGAATGCGGCTTGGGGCTGCAGGAGCCCAGCCCTGCTTCCAAAGCTGTTCTCTGGGCGCGCGCCAGAGCCGAGAGCCGAGAGCCGGGTGGCCCTGACTTCCCAGCCTGACGGGGAGGAAGGCAGCGAGCTCGCGCTCTGTGTACTGGAAAGTTGGAGCCCCCCTTTCTGCAGCAGAGGAGGCTGTGTCCACACTGACTGTCCACAGCAGGCACGGAGCCCAGGGCTCAGCCCAGAGCAGACACTCCTGTATTTTCCTCGTATTCGGACCGTTGGTGTTTATCAGTACTCAGGGCTCGAGGAAGATACACCCACGGAGCTCGCCCTCGGGAAGGAACCGAGATCCTGGCTTAGCTTAGAACTGGCTGTGCCCTGTGTTCCAGGCTAGTGACTTATAACCTCCCCGAGTCTGGCGGATCTTTGGCAGACACGAGCACGCGATCTTGCGTAAGTGGGGGACCTTGCACCGAAGCTGGACTTGGTATCGGCCAAACGATGGCCCGAGTGGGGTGGGGGCTAACCGTGGGGTGTCTGGGCTCGCGCCAGTGCCGTGTGACATGGCGGGGCCAGGGCGTGGTGACTGGGCCCATCTCCTGTGACTCCCGATAACCCCAGCCCTGCCAAGGCAGAGGCCTGGATAAGAGGGGGCCGGGGGGGCGGGGGTGGCCTCGGGGCAGAGTGGAGAGGAAGGTGGTGTCTTTGGGTCCACGCCCCACCCCGGGAGGCCTCACAGCTGCCCCAGCCTCTGACTGACCACGCAGCCTTGAGTAAGTTCTGCACTTCCCCGGGCCTCAGGGTTCCCTCGGTCCAGAAGAGAAGCAGGAGTCCCCGTCCCTCACCGCCTCCCCACACACACACTCATCTGGCCCCTGATTTAGTGGTGGGTGGCGGGGGCGGCTGCCGTCTGGGATGACGGAGTCTGGGGTGCATGCCTCACACGTGGGAGCCCAGGACCTCATCCCTGGTACCACGTGACTCCCTGAGCACCGTCGGGCGGGGCTCAGAAAAGAGGAGCTCTGTACCCCGACTCCAAGCTGGCGCCCCGATGCTCTCTTCCCACCCTATCCTGTCTCTGCTTCCCATCCTCTGACACCCGCCTACGCCCTCGCCCCCACCCCACCCCAGCCCCGCTATTTCTATTTCCGGCCTGCTCTGGCCACAGTGGTCTTCCTTAAGCCGGCTCAGAAGTCTGGAGATGCTCTGAAACCCCGGTGCTGTGTGTGGGCATCTCCTGGGGGCAGCACCCACCCCCTCCTTCCCTGCCCTTGACACTTCTCTTCCAGCGGGCAGCTTGCTGCCACGCCAAGCCCACTGATCCTGCGAAATCCAGTTCAGGATCCCACCTTCCAGGACCCGAGTGATAGTGCAGCAGGGAGGGCATCTGCCTTGCGTGCGGCCAACCCAGGTTCCGTCCCCAGCATCCCATTTGGTCCTTCATGCACCACTGGGAGTAATTCCTGAGTGCAGAGCCTGGAGTAACCTCTGAGCATTGCTGGGTGTGAACCCCCAAAATATAACAGACAATAACAAGATCCCACCTTCCGGCAGGTGTCCTCTGCTCCCCCCGACTCACCTGGGTACCCCAATCCCTCATAGGATGTTCCTCCATCCCCCCCCAGGAGGCCCTGCCCTGCCTGCCAGGACAGCAGTGCCCACCTCTGGCACACAGTAGGTGCCATGAAAACCAACGCTCATGCTTCTGTATCCCTTGTCCTGCATGTAATTGGCAGCTTGGTTGGAGTGGGGGAAGGGCGGTGGTGCAAACTGGCCTTGGACCCTGCCCTTGGACGCGGTTGATGGGAGGAGATAAGAGAGGTCCCGAGCAGTTACGTAAGGGAGGAGCCGTGGTCTGGGCAGGAAGAACCACTCCTGGAGGACAGGAAAGGAGGGGCTGCTTCCTGGAGAGCCTGGTAGGAATTGGGGGGGGGGGGGGTGGGGGGTGGACCCCAGACAGTGGCGAGAGCACCGGCCTCCCAGGAAAGGGAAGGGTGGCGCAGAGCCAGTAGGTGACCAGGTGTGGCAGGTCCCGGGAGCAGCCGGGCCCTGTGGCTGGAGAGTGGCCCATCCCCTGTGCTGGGGGTGGGTGTGGGAAGGGGTGTTACGGCTTCATCATGCCTGGGATCGCACCTCGAGGGGCGGCTGTGCTTTGCTCTGGGGAGAGAACCACAGGAGCTTTTTCTTCTTTCCTTCCTGACTTTTCCAGAATTTCATTGTCTCCAGACACACGAAACTGTTGGCTGGGTCAGTACGGCTGACACTGCTCTCGGGCCCACCACGGATGGAGCCTTTTAGGCAATTGTAAATTGCTTACCAAGTCAAGGGCCGAGGAGATGGCTCACAGGGCCGTCGCCCCTGCTTCCCACGGGGGAGACCCGGGTTCGATCCCCAGCATCACTTGGTTGACAAACACCGCCAGGTGTAAGGCCCAACAATTTTATTTATTTATTTATTTATTGCTTTTTGAGTCACACCTGGAGATGCTCAGGGGTTACTCCTGGTTTTGCACTCAGGAATTACTCCTGGCAGTGCTCAGGGGACCATATGGGATGCTGGGAATCGAACCTGAGTCGGCCGTGTGCAAGGCAAATGCCCTACCCACTGTGCTATCGCTCCAGCCCCAAGGGCCCAACAATTTTTTTAAAAATTCTTTTATTGAATCAGGGTGAGATACAATTACAAAGTTGTCCGTTATTGGGGTTCAGTCATATAGTGTTCCACACCCTGTACTAGTGTACATTCCCCACCACCAACGTCCCCAGTCCCTCCCACCCACCTCCCATGCCTCTGTGCAGACACTTTTCTTCTCTCTGTGTCTCTCTGTCTCGGTGTCTCTGTCTCTGTCTCTCTCTTTCTTTTCTCTCTCCTCCCCCACCCCCACCCCCCTTTCCTTTTGGGCATTATGGTTTGCAAAACAGATACTGATAGCTTATCATGTATATCCCTTTACCTACTTTCAACACTCAGTTCTTGTCCAGAGTGATTATTTCTGACTATTGATGTCGTGCTGATCCCTTCTCTATTCCAACTGCCCTTTGCCCCCTACGTACTTGTGGCAAGCTTCCAATCTTTGACCAGTCCTCCTGGCCCCTGTTTTTCCTGGCCTTGGATATTAGTCTCATACTATTTTTTTTATATTCCACAAATGAATGCAGTCATTCTATATCTGCCCTCTCCTTCTGATTCATTTCGCACAGAATGATACTCTCCATGTTCAGCCATTTATAAGCAGATTTCTTGAGTTCATTTTTCCTAACAGCTGTGTCGTATTCCACTGTGTAGATGCACTATAGTTTATTTATCCAGTCATCTGTTCTCAGGCACTTGGGTTGTTTCCAGATTCTGGCTGTTGTGAATAGTGCTGCAACCAACAAATTTTTTAAAATACTTTTGTTGTGGGGGAAGGAGTTGGTTGGTTTTGGGGCCACATCTGGCAATGCTCAGGATTTAACTCCTGGTTCTCTGCTCAAGGATCATCCCTAGCAGGGCTCAGCGAACTCCATGGGATTCCTGAGATCAAACCCAGGTTGGCCATGTGCAAGGCAAGTGCCTAACCACTGTACTGTCAGTGTGGCCACCCATTTCATTTTTTTGAAATGACAAAAAAATTTACAACCTAAGTCAGTGACTAACAAATTTATTTATTATTGAATCATCGTGAGATCACAGGTACAAAGTTGTTCATGATTGGGTTCAGTCAAGCCCGTGTTCTCTCTCGAACATGTACTTCTCTCTTTCTCACCCCTCATTTCGTCCAATAAAAATTACCTTGCTTCACACACACACACACACACACACACACACACACACACACATACACACACAAAACACCTGAATGTAATTTTAGATTCAAGGTGCCATGGAGGCCTGGGATGGTTGAGTGGATAAAGGGGGTCAAAAGGTGTGGACTGGTGCCAAGAGATAGTGCGGTGGTTATGTACCCCTGCGGGTTCAGTCCCCACCACCACAGGGTCCTCCACAGGACTATGGCCCTGGAGGCCACCAACACCACCAAATGGCCCTCATACCCTTGGTCCCCACCTGAGCACTGCTGCATCCTCAGGCTGTTGTGCTAAGCCAACAGCCAGTTGGTTGGGGCCCCGTGCCTCCTGGGCCCTTCTTGGGAGCCTCACCTGACCTCCCCACCCCCCGCCCGACAAAAGGTACAGACTTCCCGTTGTAAAGTAGATAGGCCTGGGGTATAGTGGACATCATGCCATGGGAACGATTTTGACTCAAATTTCAGGATTGTGCACTTGAAAGCTGCCACACGAGTGACCCTTAAAAGTTCTTAACATGTGTCGGAAATAACTGTAACTACACGCGATGTTCTGGCCTTGCTCCTGGCTCTGTACTCAGGGGCCACTCCTGGCAGGCTCGAGAGGCCCTTTGTGGTGCCATGGACTTAACCCCGGTCGGTTGTGTGTAAGGCAAGCGCCTGACCCACTGTCCTGTGACCAGAGGGTGGGGATGCGTATCACCTTCCTGTAGCATCTTTTCTCAGCACCTGCAGTGTCAGATCCCACTGTACTCCGGCCACAGCACGGTGTGGGTGTCAGGGCGGAGGATCCCCAGAAACAGGGGCTAGGGGTCGGTCTGAGTGCCTCTCCCCCCCACCCTCTCCCCCGCGGGACTCCGAGTCAGGAGGAGCCTGCAGATGTAGGTCCCTCTCCTCGGGCCGGGGACCTTGTCTCAGGCGCCTCCCGTCACTCCCACACAGGCCAACACGCTGGTGCACCCTGCAGAGCCCCTCCATTCTGACAAGACGGCGCCCCCACTGCCCACCATGCAGCCGCAGTCGGTCCTGCACAGCGGCTACTTCCACCCCCTGCTTCGCACCTGGCAGACGACCGCCACCTCCCTCCAAGCCTCCAACCTCATCTACCCCATCTTCGTCACGTGAGTCCCCCCCCCCCCAGAGCGGACAGGCGTCACCCTCCAGGGGATCTGCTGGGGTGCAGACCGTGCAGCTCGGGGTACTGACTGACTGCATGGCCAGGGTCAGCCCGAGCATGCTGTGTCTCGGAAGTGGCCTCGTGGGTTGAGGACAGCTGTCCCTGAGAACAGATAGACCTGGGCGAGAGCTCAGCCTTCTCTTAGGACGGGCGGAGCATTGCCCTGGCCCAGGCCCCCTGCGCTTTTACAGTCAGACTGGCCCTGCTGATGGACAGTAGATTGCAAGGTGCCTTCTGAGTACCTGTAAGAATTGGGCCTTTGTTTTTTTTTCCTTTTTGGTAAGTACAAGTCTCACAATTTGTTGTGAGACGTTGCTGGTGCCCGCTCGAGCAAATCGATGAACAGCGGGAGGACAGTGCTACAATGCTTCCTTTTTGGGTCACGCCCGGTGATGCTCAGGGGTTATTCCTGGCTCTGCACTCAGGAATTACTCCCTGCGGGGCTTCGGGGGACCAAATGGGATGCTGGGAATCGAACCTGGGTCGGCCGTGTGCAAGGCAAACGCCCTACCCATTGTGCTATGGCTCCAGCCCCAAGAATTGTTCCTTGTGATTTGCTCATGGTCAGGGGCTGCTCCCAGCACCGTGCTTGGGAATTGCCCCTGGCAGTGCTTCAGGAACCAGGTGGTGCCAAGGGGCTTCTGCACGAGAAGCATCGGTGGCCCCCGGCCCCATGATCATGAGTCAGTGCCACCTGTGACATGACTGAGTCACTCTGTGTGCCGGGGGTACCAGGTCCTGCCCCAGACAGCTCCCTGACCTGATGAGGGCAGCCTGTCTGTGAAGGTGTGGACTTTGTCCCCCTGGTCTGTCTCCCAGAGGGCAGGGGCCTCACCAGAACAGCGCCAAGGGCTGTGTGTGCTTGGCAGGTAGGTGCTTGGGGTTTTATCCCCAGCACCACCAGGAGCGACACCCCCAAACCTTGGCACCAGAATGGGAGTAGTACCCCACCCGACCCCAGACAGACACACAATGGAACAAAACCAGTCCCTGGCCCACAAGAAGCATGTAGCAAACATTGTTGGGTCCAGGTGTGAATCCCCCTAAGAGCCCCCCGGGGGTCTCGAGTCAGGGGCTGGGTGAGCACGTGATGCCCCTGATGCCAAAGGCCACCACGTTCTCAACCCCACCTGTGACTGCTGTCCTTCCTGTCCACGGGCCACTGTTGTCACTGTCCGTTCTCATTGTTCCTGTGACTGTTTCCGGCCCTGGGCTTGGTCCAGCAGGGGAACTGTACCCCAGATCCTGTCCCCCTTCCTGCCCTCCCCCCTCCTTCTGCCTCTCAAGCTCCCCGAGTAGTGGCATCCCCCACTCCCCACAGTCTCCCGCCCACCACCCACCCCCGACTCTTGCAGGGATATGCCTGAGGACATCCAGCCCATCGCCAGCCTCCCTGGAGTGGCCAGGTAGGGAGCTGGGCTGGGGGAGCACAGGGCCAAGCTGGGCAGAGATCCACGGGCGGGGCAGTGCTTCAGGCCGGGGTTCAGTGAGAGGAACTGGGGGTTGGGGTCTTCCTCCCTTTGGATGTGGTCCCTCTGCTTCACTCCTGCAGACCCTTGGGTTTGCCCGGCAGTTCAGCACACTGCGATCTGGCTGGCTCTTTCTGGGGGTCTCAGTGCAGAGCATGAGGGTCCTCAGCCTGGTGCTGCGCTCCCCTGCAGGTATGGTGTGAACCGCCTGGAAGAGATGCTCCGGCCACTGGTGGAAGAGGGTCTGCGCTGCGTGCTCATCTTCGGGGTCCCCAGCCGAGTGCCCAAGGTGAGGGTTGAGTGGAGGCAGCAGAGGTGGGGAGGGGCCACACTGACCCTCCCGGGTGAACAGAGCGACCCGGGGCAGCCCCCCAGGTAGGGCTCGGAGATGCCTCAGAGGGCTGCGGCATGTGCCCGGCAGGCGGGAGGCCCCAGGCTCAAGCCCTGGCACCAGGTGTCACAGGTCGAGCCCCGTGGCCTAAGCAGCACTGCATCACCTGCTCGAGCACAGAACTGGGCGGCCCGGCGGGTCAGATAGCACCACAGGTGGCCCGCCACCCCAGCACTGCTTCGGAGGCCCCCCAAGGACAAAAGGGACAGCCCCAGGGGAGGGCCAGGGAGGCTGGGCCCGGCTGCTGTGCCCTCAGCCTTGGGCAGTGAGACAAGCAGAGGGGCGCCCGACACCCCGACACCCCTCTGTCCTTACCCTGCCCCAGGACGAGCGGGGCTCCGCGGCTGACTCCGAGGACTCCCCGGCCATTGAGGCCATCCGGCTGCTGCGCAAGACCTTCCCCAGCCTGCTGGTGGCCTGTGACGTCTGCCTGTGTCCCTACACCTCCCACGGGCACTGTGGTGAGCAGCCCTCCCGCGCCCCGCTGCCCCCGTCCTCCCCGCACCACCAGCTGGGGCCAGTGCCCCAAAAAGCCGCGCGTCCCAACGTGGGCCGTCTGTCCGGCAGGGCTCCTGAGCGAGAAGGGGGCCTTCCAGGCCGAGGAGAGCCGCCAGCGGCTGGCAGAGGTGGCGCTGGCCTATGCCAAGGCAGGTGAGTAGCTGCCAGCAGGGAGCACTCCTATGGGTCAGGCGAGGCTGGGAGGCCGGGAGGGGGCTGGGGGTGCTGAAGGCCCTGCTCCCCCCTCCTCCAGGATGCCACGTGGTGGCCCCGTCGGACATGATGGACGGACGCGTGGGAGCCATCAAGGAAGCGCTCATGGCCCATGGACTCGGCAACAGGGTAGGGGCAGGAGGCTCGGGGGAGGGAGGGCATGTGTCTGGAACCCCAGGCCGCAGAAACTGGAGGGGATGAATGATGGCCACAAGCTCTGGGGCGATCCAGCGCCGGGCCCTTGCCTTTCCGGTGGGGTCCTCCCGCTCCTGGCCACCACCAGGCCGGCCAACAGCCTCGCCCGCATTGTCTGCCCCCAGGTCTCCGTGATGAGCTACAGCGCCAAGTTTGCTTCCTGTTTCTACGGCCCCTTCCGGTGAGTGGGGGCCACCCCCGGCTGCGGGCGCTGCTCTTGGTGTCCCAACCCGGGGCACAAGCAAACGTAGCATAGGCCTGCAGCCCCGAGTCCCTCCGCCCCCTCCCCGAGCCCCTGAGCCCCGCCAGGGTGGCCCTGCTGGGCCCCAGCGTCGAACCATCAGGTCTGGCTGGCCAGGTGTGGCCAGGAGTAGCCCGGGACCCCCTGAGCACTTGGGAAGCCACCAATTAAATAAGTAAAAACACCCCTGACCTATTTGCGCAAACACACCCCATGTGCACACACCCCTCACACACGCCACACATACTTAACGTGTGTGCATGTGCACACACACACCAGTGCACGCACAAGCACACGCACCCACCTCCGCTTTCCAGGGACGCAGCTCAGTCCAGCCCGGCCTTCGGAGACCGTCGCTGTTACCAGCTGCCGCCTGGCGCCCGGGGCCTGGCCCTCCGCGCTGTGGTGAGTGCCTGTGCCTGACCCTGCCGCCCTCTCACCTTGTCTTTTGGGGAGGGGGACCCTCACTCACCCCATCATTGCCGCCCCCCCCGCCCCCCACAAATCCCCAGGACCGGGATGTGCGGGAGGGAGCCGACATGCTCATGGTGAAGCCGGGAATGCCCTACCTGGACATCGTGCGGGAGGTCAAGGACAAGGTGAGCAGAGCCTGGGGCAGGCGCAGGGGCGGGACCTTGGAAGCCACAAGCCCCTGGACAGGAACCCCACCTGCCCCCCAGGCTGTGGGCATCCTCGATAGCCCTGATGGGTTACTGTGGCCCCCCTGTGACATCAGAGGAGCAGCAGTGATGTCACAGGGGGGCCGCAGACCGGCCGGGAGCGCGCCCACCCCTTCCTGACATCCCGTGTGCCCACTGCCACTTCTCCGCAGCACCCGGAGCTTCCGCTGGCTGTATACCACGTGTCGGGGGAGTTTGCCATGCTGTGGCATGGAGCCCAGGCTGGGGCATTTGATCTCAAGGCCGCCGTCTTGGAGGCTATGACCGCATTCCGCAGAGCAGGTGAGCCTGGGGCCCTGGGACTCACGGGCGCTTGACCCAGAGAAGGAAAACGCAGCCTCTGGTTCCTGGTTGGCTTTGCAGTCCCAGCACTTTTGGGGCGTCTCGGTGTCCCCGGCTAGAAGCTGGGAGCGGGATATGCCGGGTGCACAGCCCGAGGCATCGTGCGCATCTGTCCCGAAACAGCTGGCCTTGTAAATAGAGCATGGACTCCAGGTTCAGAGCTGACAGCAGCCCCACCCCCGAACCCCGACCCTGGCTGATCCAGGGTCCAGAGAGAGCAGGCTTAGTTCCCCTCCCCCCCCCCCCCCCGCACATACTAGGAGGCACTGGGTCTGCCCCCTCCCTAATAATCTCCTTCCCTTCCCCCCCGCCCACCAGGGGCTGACATCATCATCACCTACTATACACCCCAGCTGCTGCAGTGGCTGAAGGAGTGAGTGACGGGGAGCGAGCCTGCCCCAGGAGCCAGGGCCTTCCCGTGCAGGCGTGAAAACCAAAGGGAACGCTGCTTTTAGGACTGCCCTCCAGCCTGCGCCCTGCTCCCATGCTGCCAGGGGCCCAGTTCCGGGTGCCTCTGCAACCTGCCACAGCCTGACCACTCACGGCCACCTCCTCACGAACTCTCTCATGCTGTCCAGCCCAGCCTTGGCCCGGGCTTGTGTCTCTGGTGTGGCTGACTGCAGCTTGCAGAGAGGCAGCGAGCCAGGGCCGGGGGCGGGCTGGGTGGGGCTGGGAGAGGGTGCCTGGAGAGAAGGGAAGGAGAGCCGTCAGCCACTGCATCTCGGATCCCACCAGGAAGCCTCAGCCCCCGTCCTGCAGCAGAGCCGGGTGCTAGGATGAACATCTGCTTCAGCATTGAGATTGGCGGCCAGTCCACGGAAGACGATGCCCCCCTCCTTGTCCCCATGAGTGCCCAGCTGCCCAAGACCTCATGCTTGCTCCACTCTGAGCCATAAACCCAAAGAACTGCTCTTTGCTGAGCAGAAACATGACCTGAGGAACGGCATTCAGGAGCCGAAAGAGTTCCTGACTGTCGGGACTAGTGCACCAAAAAGGCTTTTTCGTGAAGAGAAATGTTGGGGGAACACCTGCTGCGTGCACAGGCATGGAGCATATTCCCAGGAATGTAGCAACCGTGACAGACCTCCATTCATTTGTCTCTCTGCGTGTGTATGCATGCGTGCGTGTGTGTGTGTATGTGTGTGTGTGTGTGTGTTTGGGGAGGGGCGAGGGGAGGTGTTAATGGACACCAATAAAGCAGTTACAGATTATCTCTGTGCCTGGCAGGATGGGGTGGCGTGGGTGAGGTGGGGATCGTGAGTGGCTGGTGGTGAAGTGTGGGTCTGCAGTGGGGGGGGCACTCAGCAGGGCTTCTGGGAGCAGGTGAGGGAGAGGACGGTGGACAACAGGACAGAAAGCTGGAAGGGGGAGTCCTGCACTTTTTTTCTTCTCCTTGTAGGGGACCCCAGGGGGGTCAGGAGCAGCTGGGCATATGCATGGCACAGGGGGTCAAGATCAGCACCACAATCCCTGCCCTGGGCACTTCTAAGTCACTGAGCCAGCTTCTGGGCCCTTTCGCACCAGGGACCTCTCATAAGAGCAAGCAGGGCCTCAGGATTGCCCCGGTGTTGCCAACAGGTGCTGTAAGGCCCAAGCCACCCTGCAGGCCTTACTAACAAAGGATCCCAGCCGTGGGACAGTCTAGCAGCCTCCGGCATGGGCTGAAACTCTCACCTCGTGCTGCCCAGGCCAACTTAGAAGCCTGTGAGCCCCATCTTGGATCTCAACCAGACCCGGGGCTCCTACGTGCCAAGCATGGCCTCCAACCCTTTGAGCTATCTTCCCTGACCCCTTTTGAAGAATTTTCACCCAAAGCTGTGAGCTGTCACTTTCCCATCTGAACATGGGAAGTGTGGAGAAGGACCCAGAGGGGAAGAGCCCCTGGGGAGGTGACTGAGGGGTGTCAGGCATTGGCCATGGCCTGGAGCAGGAAGCAGCCGTGTTCAGGACATATCGAGGAAACAGAATTAGCATATTATGCCAACACTTTAGACCTAATGGGGCCCAAGGCAGAGGGAAACAAGGCTACCTTTTTTTTTTTAATTGAATTACCCTGAGCAGCCCTTACAAAACTTTCATGTTTGAGTTACAGTTACACAATGATCGAACACCCATCCCTCCACCAGTGCACATTCTCCACCACCAATGTCCCCAGTATACACCCCCCCCCTTTCCAACCCTCCCCCTGCCTCTGGCAGACAATTTCCCTCTCTACTTTTGGGCACTATGATTTGCAATATAGATACTGAGAGGCTATCACGTTCGGTCCTTCATCTACTTTCAGTACACATCTCCCATCCCGAACGATCCCTCCAACCATCGTTGACTCAGTGATCCCTTCTCTATCCCTGCTGCCTTCTCCCCCAGCTCATGAGGCAGGCTTCCAACTATGGGGCCATATTCCTGACCCTTGTGTCTACTGTCCTTGGGTATCAGTTTCATGTTATTTTATATTCCACAAATGAGTACAGTCATTCTATCTATGTCTGTCCCTCTCTGACTCATTTCACTTAGCATGATACTCTCCATGAACAAGGCTGCCTTTGAAAGTGGCCTCTGGAACTAGCATGACCTGGAGTTGCCTGCCAGGGAAGTTCAATCAAGGCAGGGCAGGCTGTGGGCCCATCTGCAGAACCACGGATTCCAGCTCAAGGACCAACGCAGACGCAGACCTTAAGAATTCAGGCCGGGGGAATTAATGGCCTGATGGGTCTGATGGACCAGGGTACAGGCTTTGCATGCAGGTGCCCCTGTTGTGATCTGGGGCACCTGCATGGCCCCTGAGTGCAGAGCCAGAAGGAACCCTGAACACCTGCTTGCTACCCCAAATAAAGACAGTAAAGACAGTACAACCCATTTAATTGTATTACTATGGAGGCAGGGGGAGCGGGGAGGATTGAACCATACCCAGCAGTGCTAAGGGGCTACTCCTGGCTCTGAAGTGTTCCTGGGATTGTGTGTATGTGGCACCTGAGATTGAACCAGGTCGGCCTCGTGCAAGTTTAAGCCCTGTACTTTCTTTCTGGCTCAATATAACCCATTTTGATGCAAGCACCTTAGCCACTGAGCCACCCCTTGGCCCCAGTACAACCCCTTTTAATCTTTATAAATGCCTGCCTTCTGCCATCCCACCTGTGCCTAACTCACCTTGAGAACGGAGCCCATTCTGTCCCCAGTCATGTGGCCAGAGCCTCCCCCACCCAAGGGCAGGGGCAAGGACAGAGTAACGGGCGGGCGGGGGAGATGGCTCCAAGGGCTGGAGGCCCAGCTCCTGTCCCAGGCACTGGATGGTCCTGAGCACTAACCCAGCAGGAGCCCCCAGGCACCATTGTGTGGCTTAAAGCCAAAAAATAACAATGGAGCAGAATGAGGAGGAGTGTCACCAGGGAAAGCTTGGAAGAGCTTCCAAGTGGAAGGGGAATCCTCAGCTCCACTCCCTGAACAGATCTGAACCCACTGAGTCCAACTCTAAGGTTTCTGGGGCCTTAGTACAGTGGGTGGGAAGCTTGCTGACCCGGGTTCAATCCCCAGCATCCCGTATGGTCCCCTGAGCACTGCCAGCAGTGATTCCTGAGTTATGGAGCCAGGAGTATTGCCAGGCTCAAGAAGTAAGGAAACTCTAAGGCTTCTGCCCTTAACCATCAGACCAGGCCCCCTGCTAACACACAGGAAATTGGGGAGCGATAGCACAGAGGGTAGGGCGTTTGCCTTGCGCGCGGCCGACCCAGCCGATCCGGGTTCGATTCCTCCACCCCTCTCGGAGAGCCTGGCAAGCTACCAAGAGTATCTCGCCTGCACGGCAAAGCCTGGCAAGCTCCCCGTGACATATTCAATATGCCAAACACAGTAACAAGTCTCACAATGGAGATGTTACTGGGCCCACTCCAGCAAATCGATGAACAACGGGAGGACAGTGCTACAGACAGTGCTACTTTAGTTCAAGTAAAAACCAGAGTATGTTACCACAATATAGCCTTCAGACTGTTTTAGGCGCTGGGGAAATGGCCCAAAGGGTAATGAGCATCTTTTACATACAGAAACCCTGGGTTTACTCCCTGTCACCAAAGGTTCTGCCCATCCAGCACTGTACGGAGGAACTCCCAAGCACGAATTTAGGAATAGCCGCCAAGCACCACTGAGTGTGTGTACAAAACAAAACCGAAGAATGTTAGAGATAAACTGCCAATTGTGGAGCATGTGGAGCAGCTGGAATTCAGCAAGACTCAGCAAGTACAGCCTCACGAGAAAACTGGATGAGGGGAAGGTGAGGGAAGGCCCAGATTGTACAGAGGATGACGTGCTTGCCTTGCAGACACCCGACTTGGGTTCAATCTCCAGCACCCCATACAGATCACCAGGAGAGATCCCTGGGTGCAGAGCTAGGAGTCAACCCTGAGCACTGCCATGTATGGTCCCCAAAACAAAAATCAAGTGAATTCCCCCAGAAAATTGGAGGTCAAGGAAATAGCTCCACAGGCATGCAGGGGCCCCGGGTCTGATCCCAGCACCAGAGCACCACTGGGAGTGACTCCCGAGCACTGACCTGGAGATCACTCCAAAGCACCACCCAGTCTGGGCCCCCAATTAAAAAAAAAAAAACTGGTCCCACCTACTAAAGCTAAACGTACACCTATGACCTAGTGACTCTGCATCTCAGTATTACCCAAAGAAAATGTGCACACGTGGTCACCAAAAGACATTCCAGAATGTTCATATTATTGGAATAGCAAAATGAAGTAAAACCAAAAACTCAGTTGATTTTTATGCAAACAAGTATGAGCCAGGGGCTGAAGGATGAATACAGGGGCTAAGGCGCTTGCCTTGTATGCAGCTGACCCTAGATCCATCCCTGGTGTTGTAAGTTTGGTCCCATGAACACGTCCTTGAGCAATGCCAAGTGTAGACCCTCCAAAAGGAAAAAAAGCAAATATTCAGGAATCAGATCCCATACAAGGAGGAAAGAGATGCTCTGAGAAGCTGCCATCCTACATGGAAGATTTTATAGACTGGAAGGAAGTGAAAGAGGAAAGAAGGAATGATTTCAGGCTGAGTTATCTTCAGCCAGTGTTCTGTGAGGGGCAGATAGGGGCTGTCAGTTGAATTATTTCTCTTGGAGGGGTGGTTCGAGCCACCTCTTCTCATTGCTCAAAACCATGTGAGGTGTTGGAGATCTAACCTAGGTCAGTCACATGCATGGTTTATCTTTTAGTGCTGACCAAGAAATTTCAGGTTTGCTGCAGACCTCAGGTATGTTCCCAAGGGATGTTGCAACTTCAGTCTCTTTATGGATTAAGTCTTGGTTTGCTGACACAACCCTAGCTCAAATGATTCCATTTTGGGCCTGCTGTCACTCTTTTTTCGAAATAGCAACATTTTGCAATCTTTGTTGTACTCAAAAAGGGAGATAACCCAAAGCCCATCAGCAGTAAAACGATAAATACTATATAATGGAACATTCCAGGTATGAGAATGAATGACTTGCAACTGCACAGAGCAACAGAGGTGTGTCCTACAAATAACATTCTCAGCAAAAGCAGAATGACAAAGAGGCCTGCTTTCTTACTCCATTAGTATCCAGTTAAAGTAAGATTAGAAGTGCAATTAGAAGATTAAAGTGCAATTAGAAGTTAGGATGGTGGTTACCATTTGGAGAAGTAAGCAATTGGAAGGTGACAGGGACTCCACAGTTCTGAAAATGTCTTTTTCCACAGCGGGTAGGGCATTTGCCTTGCACACAGCCAACGTGGCCGACCCGAGTTCGGTTCCTCCGCCCCTCTCGGAGAGCCCGGCAAGCTACCGAGAGTATCTCGCCCGCACGGCAGAGCCTGGCAAGCTCCCCACGACGTATTCGATATGCCAGACACAGTAACAACACAGTCTCCAATGGAGACGTTACTGGGCCCGCTCAAGCAAATCGATGAACAACGGAAGGACAGTGTTTGTTTTGTTTGTTTGTGTTTTACTTTGTGTTTTGGTCCACACCTGGCAGTGTTCAGGGTTATTCAGTGCTCAGGGTTACTTCTGGCTCTGCTCATGGATGACTCCTGATGGTGCTTGGGGGACCACATGCTGTGTTGGGACTCAAACCCAGGTTGGCCGTAGGCAAGGGAAAGTTCCTTAACCCCTGCACTATCTCTCTGGCCCCTGGAAATGTTCTTTTTCTTGGGCTGGGTGCTGGGTTGTATGGGTAAGTTCACTGTGAAAATGCAAAGATTTACATTTCTTCATTTTGTTATACTTCTCCCTATGTAGGATATCATCTAAAAGTTAACAAAAAATATAAACAAATGAAACAGTCTTGTAAATCATGAAAAGAAGAAAGAAGGGAGGGAGGGAATGAGTAAGGCAGGAGGGAAACTAAAAATCTGAAAGAGATATGTAATTGGTGGGTTTACTATACTTTTCATATGAGAATGTCAAGGTAAAAACCTTTCTGTAAGAAATTTGATTTCTTGGGGCCAGAGAAATAGGACAGTAGATAAAGTGCTTGCCTTGCAGACAGCTGAACCAGGTTCAATCCCTGGCACAACATTTGCTCCCTGAAGCCCTGCCAGGAGTGATCCCCGAGCACAGAGCCAGGAATAAGAGTAAGCTCTGAGTACCACCAAGTTGAACTCAAAAGAAGAAATAATTAATTTTTAAAAATATTTTTAAGAAACCGGAGCGATAGTATAGCAGGTAGGGCATTTTCCTTGCACGCAGTTGACCCGGGTTCAATCCCCAGCATCCCATATGGTCCCCTGAGCATCGCCAGGAATAATTCCTGAGTGCAGAGCCAGGAGGAACCCTTGAGCATCACTGGGTGTGACAACCCCACAAAAAAAAAGCAAAAATATATATATATATATATATATTTTAATTTTGTTTAATTTAATTTCTTGGCTAGGGATAGAGCTCAGTGCTAGAGCCTATGTTTTCTATGTGTGAGGCCCTGGCTCCAATCCCCAGTACCCAAAAGCTGAAAGGAGAACTGGAGAAATAACATAGCAGGGAAGTGCTTTCCTTGCGCACAGCCAACCGGAATTCTAGCCCCAACACCATCTATGGTCCCAGGAAATCTTTCAGCACAGAGCCAGGAAAAAGAGTAAGCCCTGAGCACGGCCAGGTGTGACCCAAAGACCAAAATAAAAAATAAAAGGAGAAAGGAGAAAGGGGGGGAAAAAGGAGGGAAGGGAAAAGAAGGGAAGGGAATTTGTTTTCTAAAAAAAATTCCTAGGCCAGTGTGCAGTATAGTGACATGGCTGTTAACTCCACGAGTAATGTACTGTAGACCAAAGCTCACACAGGAGAGCTCTGTCTTGTGACTGACAGAGAAAACTATTCATTAAACATACGTGCTGGCAAATCCAAAGGAAGCTTGTTTCAGAACAGCCGGAGCCTTTCACTAGCTCTCCTGTGATCAGAAAGACTCCTCTTTTTCTCTCTGCTGTAAAAGGCACTTGGAGTAAGGGGAAATTTTACTTATGTGGGCCTTACCTATATTCCATGTAAACTTTAAAATATATCGACACTGGGGTTGGAGCTGTAGCACAGCGGGTAGGGTGTTTGCCTTGCATGTGGCCAACCTGGGTTCGATTCCCAGCATCCCATACAGTTCCCTGAGCACTGCCAGGAGTAATTACTGAGTGCAGAGCCAGTAATAACCCCTGTGCATCACTGGGTGTAACCCAAAAAAAAGAAAAATAAAATAAAATATATTAACACAGAATTACTTTTAAAAAGTGTTATTAGTGATAGGTGAGGCACAATTATTAACATAACGAGATCCAAGTATAAAATAAAATTTAGGGGCTGGAGCAATAGCACACCAGGTAGGGCATTTGCCTTGCACGGGGCCGACCCGGTTTCGATTCCCAGCATCCCATATGGTCCCCTGAGCACCACCAGGGGTAATTCCTGAGTTCAGAACCAGGAGTAACCCCTGTGCATCTCTGGGTGTGACCCAAAAAAGCAAAAATAAATAAATAAAATTTAATTTAGATTTTACACTTTAGATTCCAGAAGTGAAATTAGAATTTACACTTTAGATTCCAGAAGTGAAAACATATATATATGTAAATGAGAATAAGCATTTTTTAAATGTTGTATTAAATGGTTTTAAGTTCTTACTTATGTAGGTCAGAATCATATAGTACTCACTAATTGGTCCTTACTGATATATTTTCTGATCATTCTATTTGCCAGTTCTTAAAGCTTTGTTGGAATAAGCAACATAAAGTAAATGTTATGTGCCAAAGGGGTCAGGTTGGGATTGGGAGGGACAGTGGGGATACTGGTAGAGGGAAGGTCACACTGGTGGTGTTGGAACACTAAATGCTTGAAACAACTGCGTAATGAACAACTTTGCAAGTCACGGTGTTTTTAATAAAAATCAATTAAAAAGAAAAGGTACTTTTTTAGTCTCAAAGGAGAAAGGCAGAACCCAGAGGACACAGAGTTACATCAAGGTCACACTCCCGGGGCCACATTCACATATTAGAGTGGGCATGCCGGCTTGGGACAAATGACTCAGTCAGGTCACCTGAAATAAAGCCTCTAGTTCTTCAATGTTCTCATCTGCAAAGGAGCATCTTTAACTTCTCAAAGAGCTTTTTCACGTGCTCTCATTGGGTTCCAGTGCAATCAAGGATCACAGTCAGATGAGCAAAAAATAAGAATCTCTGAAACTCACCTTAAAGCTGAACCCACCAGGTGGCTCAGTGGTGAAAAGCATGAGGCCATAATTTTGATCCCTAGTACCGCATAGCCAGATCTGTGAAACAAAAATGTGAGACACCCCACCCCCACCCCCAGGAATACCACAACCGTTCATGTGTGACTTCTGGTCATTGCAACAACGTCCATTAAAAGAATGAAATAGGAGGGGAAAGGGGAGCAAGTTTGGACTTCAGTCCAGTATTTTGCATATTGAGGACAGAGGCTCCCAGAGAAACAAATCTAATGGAGGGTTCAGAGAGGACCAGGGTTAGGATGGGAGCAGAAGCAACGGGGTAGGGTTTTAGGTAGGCCACCCTGAAAAATGAACAGTCTCGAACATCCTCAGCTTCTGTGAAATGTAGATGGGCCCCTGGCCACCCAAACATCCTAGACACTTCCACTTTTGGGACTCAGAGACAGCCTTGTTAATCAGTCTCTGAGGTCAGGCTCTCCCCTACATGCCTGCCCAGTTTGTGACTCTCCACTTGGTACTTCTGCCCAGCTCTGAGTTCGGTAAGCATGAGAAGCTTCTAAATATATAGTGAGGGGCTGGAGCAATAGCACAGCGGGTAGGGCGTTATTTTGCCTTGCACGTGGCCGACCCGGGTTCAATTCCCAGCATCCCATATGATCCCCTGAGCACCGCCAGGAGTAATTCCTGAGTGCAGAGCCAGAAGTAACCTGTGCATTGCCAGGTGTGACCCAAAAAGCAGTAGATAGATAGATAGATAGATAGTGAACATGCCAGCCTTGAAATTTCTTCCAGAGATGAAATTTTGCCCTTCTTTTTCTTTTTAAAAGAGGGGTAGAAGAAAGGAGGAGAAAAATATATGCATATTTGTGTGCTCACAGAAAAAGATGAGAATATAAGTCGTTGCCCCCAGCACCTAGCCTGGGGGAGCAACCAGGGTGGGGCTGCCTGCTTTCCCCATTCCACCTCCCAAATCCCCATAACCATTGATTACCTTGGCTCAGTAAGTAGGTTGCCTCTCCTCTAGCTCTGCACTGCATTCCTCACACAGAGTATTTGTCCCTTAATCTTCACCTGGCTGCCATTCAGAATTTGCTCCTCCCTAATCTTTTCATCCAAAGAGGCTTGCTGTCACTTTTCCTGAAACCATTTGCCTTTACTGCCTCCACAGCCCTTATTACCACTTGAACTGTGTTTTATTTACTTGATTTTGCCCTTCGTGTTTGATGAAGGCAGGACCCGGTAAATGAGGTTGGCATTATCATTCTTATTGTACACTTTGCATTTTTCAGCGTTTTTGAGAAGATCATGATTTTTTTATTATTCACCAGAAGGAAATTAGAAAGCAGCTAGGTTATTGCAGATGACCCTACCCTCAATAAAATGATGGGATCACACACGTTTGGTAGGAAAAGTAACGGATCAGAGATGCAGACCAGAGAGGTTCGGCGCCACGCCCCAGACCACAACATACTCTCCCGGACCGCAATCCTGCTTCTCCCAAGCCGACCTGGGCTCCTCTTGGGACGTCTGGATCCAAGACAGGGAGAGGGGTACAGGAAAGGCAGGGAGAGAGCAGAGAGTGCAAAACGCAGAGACTGAGGGTCACGGGTGGGAGCCAGGGCAAGTGGGGAGGACCTGCAGGAGGAGCGTGGAGCGGCAAGGCCGGGGGGAGGGGCGGGAGCGCGGACACGCGGATCTGAAGGTGCGGGCTCCCAGTCCGGCGGGAGGTGACGGAAGGGGCGCGGGGGAGGGCGCAGAGGGGCGCGGGGAGGCGGGGGGAAGAGGGCGCGGGGTGGAGCAGCGGCGGGGTCCTGGGAAACGCGAGCGAGGCGCCGGGGGACGGGAGGGCGGGTCTTAGGAGAGGGGCGTGTCCTAGGAAGTCGGGGGCGGGTCTTCGGGGCGAGAGGCGGGGTTTCAGGACAAGGGGCGTGTCCTAGGGGCGGAGCTGGGAGAATCTCGCGGGAAGGCGAGAGGCGGGGTCTCGAGGGCTGGGGCGGGACCTCGAGGACGGTGGACGGGATCTAGAGGGCGAGGGGCGTGCCTTCGGGGGCGGCGGTCTCGGCTAGAGGATGAGGGGCGGGGCCTCGAGGACGCGGGGAGGAGTCTCGAGGGCGAGGGGCGTGTCTTCGAGGGAAGAGGCCTCGGCTCGAGGGCGAGGGGCGGGGCCTCGAGGACGCGGGGAGGAGTCTCGAGGGCGAGGGGCGTGTCTTCGAGGGAAGAGGCCTCGGCTCGAGGGCTAGGGGCGGGCCTCGAGGGCGAGGGGCGGGGCCTCGAGGACGTGGGGCGGAGTCTCGAGGGCAAGGGGCGTGTCTTCGAGGGAAGAGGCCTCGGCTCGAGGGCGAGGGGCGGGCCTCGAGGGCGAGGGGCGGAGCCGCAGGCGAGGGGGCGGGCCTTGGGGAACTGGCTCTCCGGGCCCGGGGACGCGGCGCGGGTCTCGGCGGCGGCTGAGCGTCCGCGCGCCTTCTGGAGCCGGCCTGTCGCTGCGGCGGCTTCCTGCGCGATCGTGAGCGGCCGCCCTCCCCAGCAGGTGGGTTCCGGGCCTGGGGGGCCGTGGCCGAGCCGCCGGGAGGTGACTTGGGAGTCCCGGAGTCCCTAGCACCTTCCCCGCCGCTGGCCACGCCGCCCAGCGTGAGCGTCGCCCTTACCGCGTCATCTGCTGGACTCCGCGGGCAGCGGGCCCTGGGCCGGGCAGCGAGGGCCAGCCGGCCAGCCGGGCTGCCGGGCCAGACGTGTGGACAAGGAAGGGGCGCGGCGCCGGCAGCGTTCGTTCTGGCTCGGCGGGGCTAGTGTGCCGCGGTCGCGGGCTTTGGGGATGGGTCTCCCAGGGCCCCTCCGGGACTCGGATGATCAGTCCCTTGCCACGCTTCGGACGAGGCTTGTCCCCAGTCTCCAGCCACGCCCCTCCCTCGGTCCCAGCTGCAGTTGGAGCTCCAGCTTCCCCGTTTGTGCTGGGTCGCCTGGTTAGGCTCCTGGAAGCCCATCTCGGAGGAGAGCAGCAGCGGCGGCCTCGGGGGCAGCGCAGGGGTCGTGGGGCTGGCGCGCGCGCTTTCTGTGCCTCCCACCCGGACTGGTGCTCCTGTTCGGCAAAGACGGGCCGTGGTCAGAGAGCCCTGGAGACAGGGGCTCTGTGCTCTTCTCACTTGCCTGTTGTCCTGCACGTTTCAGTTCCCTGATGTCAGATTATAAAGATATACATATATATATGAACATATAGACAGCACTGGGGCTGGAGCGATAGCACAGCGGGTAGGGCGTTTGCCTTGCACGCGGCCGACCCGGGTTCGATTCCCAGCATCCCACATGGTCCCCTGAGCACCGCCAGGGGTAACTCCTGAGTGCAGAGCCAGGAGTGACCCCTGTGCATTGCCAGGTGTGACCCAAAAAGCAAAACAAAACATATAAACAACACTGTTCTCCCGTTGTTCATCGATTTTGCTCGAGGGGCCCAGTAACATCTCCATTTCGAAACTTGTTACTGTGTTTTTGCATATTGAGTACTTCACGGGTAGCTTGTCAGACTTTTCCTTGCAGATGAGATAGATACTCTCGGCAGCTTGCCAGGCTCTCTGAGAGGGGCGGAGGAATCGAACCCGGCTTCGCCGGGCTGGCTGCGCTCAAAGCAAATGCCCTACCGCTGTGCTATCGCTCCAGCCCATATATAATATATAATACTATTTATATATTATATATAATATAATGGGCTGGAGCGATAGCATAGCGGGTAGGACGTTTGCCTTGCATGCAGCTGATGTGGCCGACCCGAGTTCGATTCCTTTGCCCCTCTCGGAGAGCCTGACAAGCTACTGAGAGTATCTCGCCCACATGGCAAAGCCTGGCAAGCTCCCCGTGACATATTCGATATGCCAAACACAGTAACAAGTCTCACAATGTTACTGGTCCCGCTCGAGCAAATCTACGAACAACGGGAGGACAGTGACAGTGACAGTATAATATAATATATACATACACACATATACATATATATGCATATATATATATACACATATATCTAATCTAGGGGCCCGAGCGATAGTACAGCAGATAAGGTGTTTGCATCCAGATTAGATTTCTAACCCCATATGGTCCCCCAAGCACTGCCAGGAGTGATCCCTGAGTCCAGGGCCAGGAGTAAGCCCTGAGCACAGTCACGTATGGCCATAAGCAAAACAAACAAAAAAATACCATAAAAGTTTGATCAGTAGAGGCACTGGCCAGACAGTCTGGAAGGTTGAGTTCTAGCCCTGGCCCTGCTGCTCAGTCACCTGTGACCACAGTCAAGTATATGCCTGCTCCCTCTCTCTGTTTTCTTTGCCCTAATAGACAGTTAGTCAGAAGGTCTGCACTGACCCTTGTGTCTTTGGCCTTGCTAGGAGAAATAGCAACCATAGTCATTGTTTCTTCACCTGCAAGGCCCTGCCAGGTCTGGCATTCCAGGTACGTAAAGCATCAGGTAAGGATCTCGGTGTTTCAGGACCTTTGCATATGCTGCTTCCGGTGCCAGGAGCACTTCACATCTGTTGTCCTGCCTGGTCATTCTTCAGACCTCCCCCTCCTCCCTTCAGACTTCTCTTACTTTGGAAGTTCCAGTGGAGACTGGATCCCAGGACATCCATTGTCCTGAGACATGCTGTCTTTCTTACACTGAAGTATTAGCGGTGTTCTTTGCGACCTGTGCCCCTCCTTCCCTGATTGCTAATGCCTGCCCCTGCTTTCACACAGGCTGGAAATCTCATCTCATCCCCAACGTCGACTTGTAATAGGGACTTTGGAGTTTGTCGTGGAGGGAGACGCAGGATTCAGAGCGAGGCTTCTGGCTCCCACACAGGGAGCTGGCAGCTGCACAGGGCACCTTTGGAGTTTGACGCCAAGGCCTGACCTTCTCCCCACGCCCCACTGTGCCTCTCGTTCCAGGCTCTCAGACCGTGCAGAGATTTCCCCGCGGCGGGCATAGTGGACCCATAAGGCCAGCAAGGGGAGGCGTTCCCACCGGGGCTCTTGCCTTGCTCGCCTTCTCCCGAGGTGGTCGTGGGGCAGACGTGACCTCCAAGCCCTGCAGACCTCCATGGCGCACAGGCTCCGGATCCAACTGCTGACCTGGGATGTGAAGGACACGCTGCTCAGGCTCCGCCGGCCGGTGGGGGAGGAGTATGCCAGCATGGCCCGGAGCCACGGGCTGGAAGTGGAGGCCACAGCCCTGGGCCCCGCCTTCCGGCAGGCTTACAAGGCTCAGAGCCTCCGCTTCCCCAACTACGGCCTGAGCCAGGGCCTCAGCTCCCGCCGCTGGTGGCTGGATGTGGTCCTGCAGACCTTCCACCTGGCAGGGGTCAGGGATGCCCAGGTGGTGACCCCCATCGCGGAGCAGCTGTACACGGACTTCAGCACCCCTGGCACCTGGCAGTTGTTGGAGGGTGCCGAGGCCACGCTGAAGGGGTGCCGCGAGCGGGGGATGAGGCTGGGGGTGATCTCCAACTTTGACCGGCGACTCGAGGACATCCTGGTGGGGCTGGGCCTGCAGGAACACTTCGATTTTGTGCTGACCTCCGAGGCTGCCGGCTGTCCAAAGCCGGACCCCCGCATTTTCCATGAGGCCTTGCGGCTGGCTCAGGTGGACGCAGCCGTGGCAGCTCATATTGGGGACAATTACCGCTGTGATTACCAGGGCCCACGGGCAGTCGGCATGCATAGCTTCCTCGTGGTTGGCTCTGGGCCCGTGGACCCCCTGGTCAAGGCTTCTGTGCCCCAAGAACACACCCTGCCTTCCTTACCCCTCCTCTTGCCTGCCCTTGACCACCTGGAGGCCTCCCTCCCCAGGATTTGAGACCTGGGAGGGAAGCAGCTGCACCCAACAGACGTGGAAGACAAGGGCCCCCTTATTTGCTGATTGTGGCCTCTGCCCTTCTTCCTAGCAGTCTCTGCGGCGTCTTCTGAATATAAAGCAGTGAGTGTGGGGCCTGCCACCCTGCCCCCGCAAATCAGCCCCTGGACTCTGAGATGTTCATGCCTTCCACCTGGGCTCCACCCGGGCTGCCCCTCACCCACAAGATGCAGCCGGGGCTCAGCTAGCGTCCCGAGTGGGCACTTTCAAAGTTTGTTTTAGCTGCGGGAGCGGAAGCACATAAGTAAACCTTCACACGCAGCAGAGGGAAAACACGAGCTTCAAGCCCTGGAGCCTGGAAAGTCAGGGTGCAGCGCTGAGCTGGAGAGGGTCTGCGAGGCCCACAAAGGCAGGAGAAATTGAACCTGGCCTGTCTGTTAGGGACTGTGCTGGAAAGCCTTAAAAGTGGGGGGTAGGAGGTGTGAGGAGAGATCGTTTAGGGCTAGGCAGGTGCACCACTGACCCCTGAGCCAGGGGTAACCCCCCCCGGCATGGAGCCCAAAGTAGCCCCCAAATAAAGAAATTAGGGGGTAAGTAGCCTTCCCAAGGCCCCAGTTCATCCTGAGAGAACTAGGGTCCAACTGAGACCCTCTTCATCTAAAGCCCTTTGACCACCCCTGGGATGGCCAGCACCGAGTCTCCTGGTCATCGCTGGGAGCCCACCCAGGGCTGGGCAGAACAGGAAGGTGTGCTTACAGGCACTCTCGGGTAGCATGGGCTAGGAGAGTCCAGGGAACGGAGATCAGGGTGGCAGAGGGGCTGCGGGAGGAGTCACCGGAAATGGAGGAGGTTGAGCTTTTAAATTCCACCTTCTTGGCCTGCCGGAGATAATACTGGACTTACTCACTGTATGGCCAATGTGGTTGGGTCCCTGACCACCTGGATCCGAAGTCTTCCGGGCACCACCAAGAGTGGCTCCCAAGCGGAACTAGGAGCAGCCCCCCGCCCCCCAAACACTGTTGGGTATTTGCCTGGTGCTGGGCAAGGGACAGGGCAGGTGAGAAAACAGATGGGCACATCCGGTTTACAATACGGTACCAGCGTGTCGGGTAGACCCTGGAGCTGGCATTTAGTTGGGCAGATAAGGGGAAGAAGACTCACTAGACAAAAGGCAACCAGGAAGTGTGGCATCAGGCCCCGGGGTGCCAATAGAACACTGGGCTCTAGCTTTGGTGTGTGGTCAAAGGCTACATCCAGGTAAAGGCTGAGAAGCTCCTTTCTGACTCAGCCAAGCCTCTTTTGGGCATGCCTACCTCGTGCTTGATGCCAAGGCCAGGTGAAGACGTGAGTTCCATGGATGTGGGTCATGAGCCATGGGCATGGGCTTGGCTTAAGGACCTTGGAAATCAACTCAACCCCAATCACTTGCCAGTGGTCTCCATGCTGGATTCATCCTTCCTGGTGTTTCAAGTACTGGGCAAACTTCAGAGTGGGCAGAGGTCGGGACGGAACTCAGCAGTGGGCACTTGTCTCAACTGTGTGAGGCCCTGGGTTCGGTTCCCCCTCAACCCTGCCCCCATCATTGCAAAAATAAATAAAGTGGGGACGGCTCCAGCCTCCATCTTTGGGCCCAGGAGCCCGCGGTGGCCAGTGCCAAATGCTGCCCGAGGGCACGGGGTGGCACCTGCTATTCTGTGTGACCTTCCCAAGAGGAGGGCGGGTGACCGTCAGTCCCAGGACACAGAGCCCTGTCCCCAGGCTCTTGTGGCTCCAGATGCTTAACTGCCACCCCACTGATTTCTGGGCATGTGGGTGCGGGAGGGACGATGGCAGCTGGCTGGCAAACGTGTTGTCTGAGCTCCAAGCTGGCACTGGAGGTGGCAGGCAGGCCAGCACGCAGAACACACCGGTCCCGACAAAGAACTTGGCGCTGATGTCAATTTGTTCATTCTTCCAAACCCTTTAATCACGTACATGTTCCCTAAGGCTGGTTCTCCTCTTCCCCCTGCTCTGTCTGGCTGGCAGCCAGTGCCCCAGGTCTCCCCTTTCTGCCTAAGACAGTCACCTGGGGGCTTCATCCGCAGCAGTGTGTGTGGGGGGGCTTTATCCCTGGTCCCACCATGGGCTAGAGTGCTAGCTGGCAGAGCAGCTGCACCAAACCAGGCTCCCCTGGGACTTGTGCAGGCCTGGGCAGGGTCGGCACGAGAACCTGGACCCACCAGGCCCCCCAGGCCAGCCTGGCAGGACTTCTAACGTCTCTTCTAAAGAAAGTGTCCTTTTGTCCTTATGTTATAGAAAACGAGTGTTTCTCTGCGTGCCCCTTTGTGAAAAGACCGGGGAAGCACGGCATTGGGGGCTGAGTCTACCCCACTGGGCCTTTGGCCCAGGAAGTGCTCCCCGACCGCTGGCCGCTGGTCACTGGGACAAGAAAATGCTGCTCCCCGGCCGCCACACACACCCAGCCTGTCCACCCACTGTCTGTTACCAAATATATCTGTTGCACGCTCGCTGCACACCAGCCCCATGCTGGAAGCTGGGGACCCCAGGGTGGGCAAGCCAGGCCCCCAGAGGAGCAGACACGTGAAGACTCTGGGGGACAGACCTAGGGAGTAGCCGGCGGCCCGGAACGCCCAGCCCGGATGCGAAACCGTCCCCGCCCAGCACCTACCCCCACCAAAACCACCACCAAGAATGCCCGGGGCATCCTGGCTGCAGCCAAAGGCGCCGGGTGGAAGTGCCCACGGGAGGGCGGCGGCGGGGCGGGCGGGCTCAGCGGGCGATGGAGATGGCCTGGTCAGCCACCGCGAAGACCGGGAAGAGCGGCCCCGGGAAGGCGGCGCGGTGGGCGTGCAGCAGCGCGCCCGAGGCCGCCTCGTAGAAGAGCAGCTCCTGCGCCTGCAGGTCCAGCAGCACCCCGAGCCGGGCCGGGGGGCGCAGCAGCCCCAGGGGCTCGTGCTGGCCGCCGTGCGAGAAGCGGAACTCCTGGCCGTAGCGGGAGAAGACCCAGGAGAAGGCGTTGTGGCCCAGCCGCGCGTCGCTGCCCGGGCCCTTGCGCGGCAGCTGGCCCAGGGCCACGCCCACCTTGTAGGCGCAGCTGTCCCGCACGTCCACCGTCCAGGCGTGCAGGCCGGCCTGGAAGGCGGTGGCCGCCAGGGCGTTGGGCCAGTGGTCGAAGCGCTGCGGGCCGTCCACGCACGCCCTGGACCTCTTGGCGCTGAAGGTCAGGGTCTTCCGGTCGGCTGACAGCTGCAGCAGCGGGCTGGCCGTCCTCTCGTCAATGCGCACGTCCTCTGTGCCTGCCGGAGAGCGGCCGGAGTGAGTGGCCGGCCCAGGCAGCGGCACCCCGCGGACACAGGCTCCTCTCCCGGGCCCTCAGTCCCTCCTCTACAGATGGGGGCTCAGAGCAAGACTGAGGCCAGGGTGGGGTGTAAGGACCAAAGGAGAGGACACTTGGGAAGTGCCCAGCCTATACCCCTAGAACCTGAAAGGGGGGCTGGGGGGCCACAACCCACATCTTGCAGAACTGCAGGGCGGAGGAGGGGAAGTCACAAAACAAAACCAGAAAACTTGGTGACAGCTAGAAGGTTCCAGATGCGCCAAGACCAAACATCGAATTCAAACTCAAAGCAGGTGTGAAGCTGAAGTGCTGGTGGCGGCTGGCACCTTTGCTACGTATCTCAAATGAAAAGGGGTCACAGTGGGAAACGCTTAAGAAGCCCTGACATGCACCAAGTGCTCCAGAAATCGTAGCCGCAACAGCTATAATTCTGGTGTGCAAGCTCCTCTCCTGGAGAGTCAGAGCAGTAAGTCCTGAGCTGCCCAAGATCACACACGGAGCGGGCTGGCCCGGCCAGAGAGAAGGGCTCGCCTTTGTCCCTGCCTAGGGTCTGGCCCTGCTCACACCCTCTTCCAGTGAGGCACGAGCAAGCTTGGAGCTCGGGATGTGGCCCCTGGTGGCTAGGGAGCATCAGAGAGGCAGTGCCCAGCCCAGCCCTGCAAGTCAGGTAGGAACAGCAGAATTTAGAGTGGACAAGCTGTAGCCTGAATGAACCAGGAGAATATTCCCTGGGGGAGAGGAAAAACTGAAGGGACGAAACCAGTCCAGGGATGCAGAGATAGTATGAAGGTTAAAGTCCTTGCCTACCTCATGGTTTGGCCTGCTGCAACCCTGCTTGGAATTCTGGTACCCCATATGGTCTCCCGCCCACTGCCAGGAGTGGTCCCCCTCCCCCAGCACAGAGGCAGGGTGTAAGCCCTGAACAACACTGGATTTGGTCCGAGCCCCGCTCCCCACCCCTCCCTTGAAAAAGCTAGTCCACAGGCTGGAGAGAGAGCACAGGAGTAGAGCGCTTGCCTGGCCTGCAGCTGACCCTGGTTCAATCCCCAGCACCCATAAGATCCCTCAAGCACTGCCAGGAGTGATCCCTGGGCACAGTGCTCCAGGTGGGGCCCCCAAATCAATCAAAATAATAATAGCAATAAAAATCACGAACATGAGTTCTAGAAACTCTTGTCCACGACAGGAGCAGCCTGCTTGGAAAACAGGAATTCTGCGAGGCAGGCGGCCGTGTCCCATTGACCTTGGCAGCCTCTGTCTGCTGTGGGGCCAGGCCCAGCGCCGGCCTGAATTGGTGAAGTGACAGGGCAGGTCCATGTCTCAGCCCAGCTGCTGGTCAGCAGACGGTCAGTTCTATATATGTAGAGAAGCTTCATTGCCAAGAATCAATCACGGGCTCGAGATTATTTTAGATCCACCCACTGGAAGGACCCAGCCCTTGTTCCTCCCGGGTCCAAAGCCTCCTGCTAACAGCCCTGACCATCCCCACCCCCAGCAGCATGGGCTACAACAGACCACAAGCCCCCTGCATAACCTGGCAGCAAGCCCCACAAGGCCAGATGCCCGGCGGTACCCCAGCGGCTCTAACCTGAGAGGGACCCCAGGACAGCCGTCACCCAGAGCTGAGTCAGCAGCGGACTCCGAGTGCACTTCTCATTGAAGTTCAACTTCTCCGATTCTTGGGGATCCAAAATACCCTCAGCTGCTTCGGTCCTTTGTTTTGCAGGAGAGAAAACAGACAGGAATTCAGGTGGGGTCTGGAAATGGATCTGGGCCCATATGGGGAGAGGGAGGAAAGCAGAGCTAAAATCCTCTGTGGCTTGTGAGACGGTGCGAGGGTGGGAACACCACCCCCATCTGAGTCCCTGGCACCACATGTGGTCCCCAGAGCACTGCAGGCACAAGGGTTACATCCCGTCAAGCCCAATTTGAATCCCCGGCATCACACATGGTTCCCTGAGCACAGAGCCAGGAATAGGCCCTGAGCATACTGCGTGTGGCCCCCCTCCCCCCCAAATTATTTTCCCCCACTGAAGAGAGCCCAAGAATGGCACCTAACCCCCCAATAAGAGCTACCAAAAGGGAAGGGGGCCATCCTGCCAGTAAATTCAGGGCCACTGCTGGGGTCTCTGCTAGGAAGTGAGTGGCAGGGCTGCTGGACCATCCTGCTCAGGGGCAAGCACACCTTCCTGCAGAACTCACGGGAGAACCCACAAGAGAGGGCAGAATGGACAGCCGCTCCCCTGCTCTTTGTTCTGTGGTCATTCTGGCCCAAACCCAGCAGGTCTGGGGGTCAAGGGGGAAGCCAGTGATGTTCATGATCAAACCCAGGCATGTGCTCAACCACTTGAATCACATCCCTGGCCCCTTCTCTGCTCTTCAAAGGCAACCCCCAGAATTCCACACCAGCTGTATTCATCTGTGTGTGTCTAGGTGCCACCATTCCCACAATAATAAAAAAGGGGGGGGGGAAGAGGTAGAGAGAGATCTATCCCATCTGTGAGATTAAAAGGAAACAGTAAGGGAAGAACAAATGGTCAAAGTCATCAAAATTAAAGATTGAGTCTATAGAGTGCTCGGGCACTGGTACAATGGGTGGGGAGTTTGCCTTGCATGTGGCTGATCACCCGTTCAATCCCCAGCATCCTGTCTGGTTCCTTGAGCACCACCAGGAGTTAATTCCTGAGTGCAGAGCCAGGAGGAACCCCTGAGCTGGATATGTCTCCTCCCACCCCCAAAAGATTGTTTATAGAAATGAGCTTAGGGCTGGAGCGATAGCACAGTGGGTAGGGCGTTTGCCTTGCACACGGCCAACCCAGGTTCTATTCCCAGCATTCCATATGGTCCCCGGACCACCGCCAGGAGTAATTTCTGAGTGCATGAGCCAGGAGTAACCTCTGTGCATCACCAGGTGTGACCCAAAAAGCAAAAAAACAAAAAATAAGAAAAAATAAGAAAGAAATGTGCTTATATTGGGGTATAGTGAGGGGGGGCTCTTGGGAAACTGATGAAAAGAAGAGGGGGGTGGGGTGGTATCTTATATATGCATGGAAAGTATGATTAACAGTCATGTAAATCTTGGTACCTCAATAAGAATGGCAAAAAAATTTTTAAAAAAGCAACCCCCAGTCAGGAGGGACAGTCAAAGGCCTGAAGTGTAAGCAAATGGCCACAGGTTCTACAGAGCTTGTCCCCACATAAGCCAAGTGCAATCTGGGTGACACTGCTGGCCGCGGGCGGACCCCAGCACCGAAGTAGGTGTGTGTGAGAACCAAGGAGGAATGTGGCCCCTGGTGGCCACATGTGTGAGCACAGCAGCAAGCCCGGGGGAGCACCAGGGCCACAATGTGGGCACCTAAGCTGGAGACCGAGGCGCCTGGTGGACACATGGGTGGCGCCACGACTACCGGGAATGGAAACGGAGTGCACAAGCGCCCTTGCCTGGTGTGCAATCACCAGCGAGCGCCACAGCTGGGATGCGTGAACATTGCACAGAGAGGATGGACAACCCTGGTCACCGCAGCAAGAACAACAATAATGAAGGCAATGATGGAGAGAAGGGGGTGGGAGCAAAACTACACATCTACACACACGAACAGAGAGCTGGGTTCTAGGAATCTGAGATTGGGAAGTGGAGCCAGCTCGATCAGACGGGTCATGAAATAGCAAGCGTGTGTGTGTGTGTGTATGTGTGTGTGTGTGTGTATGTGTGAGCATGTGTTTACACACATCTGCATATGCATAGGGGACAACGACAGGAAAAGTAAGCACACGCAAGAAGGGATGGTCAATCCTCACCCCCACCATGATCCCTCACCTGCTCCCCACATCCCCAGCACTATGGTTTGTGTTCTCATTAAAACACACGCATACACACACACACACACACACACACACACACACGCATACACGCACGCATGCATGCACACACACCAAAAAGAGAAAAGGGGCTGGAGCGATAGCACAGCAGGTAGGGCATTTGCCTTGCATGTGGCCAACCTGGGTTCGATCCCCAGCATCCCATATAGTCCCCCGAGCACTGCCAGGAGTAATTCCTGAGTGCGTAATCCAGGAGTAACCCCTGTATATCGCCAGGTGTGATCCCAAAAAGAAAAAAAGAGAGAGAGGAAAGAAAATGGAGCTGGAGAGAGAGCTCAATGGGCCAGAACAAACTTCCAGTTCACCATTCGGTGACCTGGGCGCCACCAGAAGGGACCTGAAATACAGAGGTAGGAGCAGCCCCCAAGGACCACCAGGTATGGCCCCCAAACCCAAACCAAACACTTAGAAACAAGGGTCTCTGAGCAAAAGATGTAGGATAACACTGGTTTGTCCTTTCTGTCTTGCCACAGGGAGCTTAGGTTTACTGGGTTACTCCCATCTCAGTGCTCCCACTCCTCTGTGTTTACTTGTAACTTCTTTCTTTGTACTCAGTTGACTTGTAAATATTGTTTTTCTCCTCTCCTTAGTCCAATAACTTAATTAACATCTTAATTCTACTCTTAATATTAGTTATTTTGTATGGATACAGTAAGAAATACATTGAGCCTGGAGGGTGGCTCTCCTGGGGACCTCTACCTCAGACTCAGACTACAGTGCTCAGGCCAGATTAATCTTTCCTAACCCTAGCAGGGTCCGAACCTAGTTATTACTTTTCGGATCATGACAGAATTTGTCCACGACCATGCTCTTAACTTATAGTTAAGCATCATGGCACTTGGCCAGGCCCATTTCGATGCCAGGGTACCTCTCTGGGTCCATCCAGTCCCTCGTCGAGACCCTGCTTTTGGGGTGCTAGGAAGTAAGGGCAACTGAGGCTTAGGTCGAGAGAACAGACGTCCAGGAGGTAATATTATCTGGAGTCAATCAATTCCCAAGTTACAGAAGCAGAGCATTAACTGTCTTCCTGTGCCCATACAAAAAGGACATTGCTCTGAATAAACTATGCAAAGGACTTAAGGAGAAGAGAAAAAGCAATATGTAAAAATCAACAGAGCACAAAGAAAGAGGTTACAAATAAACACAAAGGAATGGGAGCACTGTGATGGGAGCAACTCAATAAACCTAAGCTCCCTGTGGCAAGGCAGAAAGGACAAACCCATGTTCTCCTACAGCACTGAGGCTCGGACTGACGGTCCTGAATGAAGACGATCCTGAGTTTAACCCTGCGTGCACCCCGGGCGCTGGTGCAGTTCCAGCTGCTCAGTTCTCTGCAGTCCCTGGCACTGCAGCCATTTCCAACGGTACCACAGCCACGTTTGAGAGTCTCACGCAAACACAGTGGCCCTTGGCATGCGCCACAACTGAAGAGAGGTGCCAGCACCCTGCTCAAGAGGCGTGGCTTCTGGTAAGCTGCTCTGAGAGCTCAGCAGAGGCGCCTCTACAGTAACTGCACCTTGGCCAAGAGGGTGCCCTGGGGTGAGCACTTGAGCAAGCAAGACCAAAGCAGTGCAAACCTCAGTGAGCACTGTGGCCGAATATACGAGCACCACAACCTCATGCGTGACTCCAGTGGGCACTGCAGCTGCGAATGTACAAGGGCGTCAGAGAGAGGGGGCGGGGGCGCGGTTAAGGCACTCGCCTTGTATCCAGCCCACTGGGTTCAACCTCTGGCAACACAGTCAGTCCTTGAGCACTGCCAGGAGTGATTGCTGAGACCATGGGGTGTGGCATAAAAAAGAGCAAAAATTATGAAACGAAAAGACTTAAGGAACATCTGTATAGATGGTGGTGGTCAGGGCTGTGGCTTGGTGGTAGAGCATGGCCTTGCCCTTGTGAGGCTCTGGGTTCAATCCCTGCTCCAAACACGCATGCAGGATGTGCAGAAGGGAGGCGGAGCAGGAACACTGAAGATTTTGAGGGCTGGAGAGATAGTTCAGTGGGTAGGACACTTGCCTTGTACGCAGTCGACCTGGGTTTGATTCCTGGCATCCCACAAGGTCCCCAGAGCACCATCAGGAGTAATTCCCGAGTGCAAAGCCAGGAGGAATCTCTGAGTACCAAGGGGTGTGGTCCCCCAAAACCCCCCCAAAACAAAATAAAACAAATATTTTGAGCACATCAGAGCTGGAGTGATGGTACAGTGGGCAGCATGATTGCCTTGCATGTGGCTGACCTGGGTTTGATTCCTGGCAATGCATCTAGTCCCCCAAGCCCTGGCAAGAGCAACTCTTGAGCACAGAGTCAGGAGTAAGTTGTGAGCACTGCTGGGAATGACCCAAAACCTTCCCCACGAAATATATTAGAAAATATTTTGGCACCCTTTGAATGTGGATCATATATTAGATAAGGATATTATATCAAATCGTATTTCCTGAACTTGATCATTATTCTGAGTTATGTACAAGAGTATCTTTGTTCTTGGATGATACATGCTGAAGCATTAAAAGATTATAGTTTCTGCCACTTCACTTTCCTGTAAGCTAGAAATCAACTTTCCCATATACACTTGGCAGTACAGGAGAAGAGAGACAAGAAGGGAAGCAAACCGAAGAGGAGGTCAACAATATGTCCTTGGAGGTGACATTCACTTTACCCATCTTGCCATTTTTCTGTAAGTTTTAACTATTTCAAAACAAAAATTAGAAACTGAAAAAAAATTTGTTTCAAAACTCAGATGAGGAGAGACAGACAGTACAGCAGGCAAGGTGTTTGCCTAGTATATAACCAATCCACAGCACCAACAGGAGTGACCCTTGAGCCCGGGGCCAGGAGTAAGCTGTGTGCACCACTGGGTGTGGCCCCAACCAACTACCCCCCTCCCCCAATCACCCCCTGGAAAATCTCAGGTCAGCTTGGCACTGTGCATAACTGAAAGTGAAGCAGATGTGTGGGAAGGCTGTAAGAATGGAAAGAGGGGGTGGCCAAGCACGGAGGGTGTGGGTCTGGGGGTTCTTTGGTGTTCTGACACAAAAAGATCCTCAGATAGTTTGATGAGTTACAGGTCAGCAAATATAAATTTCAAGTTCAAAAACAAAAAAATAAAACAGGGGCAAAGAGACAGTACAGTAGGCAAGCAAGCCGCCTTGCGTACAGCTGACAGGGGTTCGATCACCAGCATCCCGTATGGTCCCCTGAGCACCACCAGGAGTGATTCTGGAGTGCAGGGCCACGAGTAGCCAGGTGGTCCCCTAAGCACCACCAGGTGTGCCCCAAGACAAAAGAAAACCCAACAACAACAATTAAAAAACTATGAAACTCACATACTCTCTTTGTTTGGATTTGTTTGGTTTGGTTTGGGGGCCACGCCTGGCTGTGCTCAGGGTTTATACTCCTGGATCTGCATTCAGGGATCTCTCCTGGTGGGACTCTGGGAACCATATGGGATGTCAGGGATCAAACCTGGGTTGGCGGCATGCAAAGCAGCCAAGGCCCTATCCACTGAACGATGGATCTAGTCTCGCCTTCCCCACATTCTCCCCTCCAACTCTATATAAGAAAGTCCTCAAGACCTCGGCTGTCAAACTAATCACTCGAGGGAAGGGGGTGGGAAGAGGTGATGAAGGCTCATTATTTTATTTTATTGCTTGGAGGTGGAGCATTGGGACACGCCTGGCAGTGTTCAGGGCCTGTTCCTGGCTCTGTGGTCAGGAATCACCTGAGGTACTCAGGGGACCATATGGGATTCTAGGGATCAAACCAGGCTTGGCTGCATGCAAGACAAGCCACTGTACTCTCTCTCTAGCCCCTCAGTTTTCATCTTAAATGCTATGTTTTTTTAAACAATAGATTTTTTCCCCTCTCATGCACATGTATTGTGTATGAGATAAAAAAAAAAAAAAGTTAAGTTGGGGCTGGAGCAATAGCACAGCGGGTAGGGCGTTTGCCTTGCACGCAGCCAACCTGGGTTCGATTCCCAGCATCCCATATGGTCCCCCGAGCACCGCCAGGGGTAATTCCTGAGTGCAGAGCCAGGAGTAACCCCTGTGCATCGCTGGGTGTGACCCAAAAAGCAAAAAAAAAAAAGTCAAGGGGGCTGGAGATTTAATACAGCGGGTAAGGCACTTGCCTTGCACATAGCTGACCCAGGTTTGATCTCTGGCATCCTATATGGTTCCCTGAGCCTGGCAGGAATAACCCTGGAGCACAGAACCAGGAGTAATTCCTGGGTCCTGCTGGATGTGACCCCAAAACCAAAAAGTTAAGTCTAAGAGTACTGGTTTATAAAGTTAATTTCTTTCTTTCTTATTCTTTTGTGTGTGTGTGTGTGTGTGTGTGTGTGTGAAATTAGATAATTTTTCTGGGAACATATTTAGAAAGAAGTGAGGGGAGAGAAAGAGAGAAGTACATATTTAAAAGAGAACACAGGCTTTTCCAGAATAGAAAAAAGCAAATATACACAGAGACAAGCAAAGTAAATACATGTTCAAGGGATAACACAGGCTTGAAGAGGGAGCCTGTAAATTTAATTTCTTGAAACCAAAGATGTGAGTTAGTGGCTGAGCACAGACTTTGCATATGCGAGGCTTCAGGTTTAATTCCTGCAAGCGTGCGCGCACGCGCACGCGCACTCGCGCGCACACACACACACACACACACACACACACCTCCCCCCTCCATCAAAATAAGAAGTTTCCTTATTTGGCAAATTTTATCTTCTTGACTGCTTTCTCAAGCTTTTGGCTGTCCAGGGCCCCAGCAGGGCCTGGCGTTTGAGCTTGGCGCTTTCACAGCGAGAACGTCAACTGGGCGATTGTGCGACTTGGGTGTCTAAGGCTCTTCCATCCGAGAAAGGTTGAGTGCGGGAAAGAACATGGAAATTGGACAGGTGTCAGGTGTGGGTCCGAGTCTCAGACTCAGTCAAAGTCTGAGGCTTTGGCACATCCCCTCCCTTTTCTGTTGGGGTGACTATGCAACTGTGTTTGTTGTTGTTTTTATTGGTTTTGGTTTTTTGCTTGGGGGGCCATGCTCAGGGGATACTCCTGGCTTTGCACTCAGGAATTACTCCTGGGGGTGCTTGATACGCTGGGGATTGAACCTGGGTCAGCCATGTGCAAGAAAAGCCTCCTATCTGGATCATAGAGCTATGGC